CTTTGTCAAAGCCACTGAGATAACAGTGGGACTTTTCCATGGCAGGGATTAATTTTTGAAGCAGTAGAGGAGCATTTAGTCTCAGTGAGTGATGAAATTTGACTGAATCACACAAATGAAATAAGTGACCTCTGTCTGGCAAGGTTGTACTTGTGGCTGGGCTTCTTTCTGAGGCGGATTTGGAGTGCACGGAAATGGGAATTGCATGTCAGGAGCACATGGAAATATCACCCAAGGGGTGCAGCCCTTGCTCTGGAGCTGGAGGGGTTAAAGGGGGGGTGGATGCTCTCTCAGGTCAGGTGCCCACGACTTTGATTTCTCAGGGACCAGATGTTCTCTGCTGGTCTAATTAAAATGTATTGTTTAATTTCAAACGTGTGTTTTAAATTAGCTTAATGGCCATGCTCTAGGGGAAATGGATTTCTAGAGCCATGTTTTCAGGCACTGGACAAAACAAGTGCTGGCCTGCACTTTTTGGAAGGGCTGTGAGATTTCAAGTGCCCTCCATATTTGCTACCTAAAAGAGATGTCATAGGAATAATTACTTGATTAAAATATGCTTCATTTAGAGAGAATTAAATTGCAGATGATTTTTGAAAATGTAAACTGTTTCTTAAAAAAATCAGGAGTCCTGGTTTTTACTGCAGTTTGCTCCTGTGTTGGTGGCTGTGAGACTTTTCATTTCAATAAGTAGCTCCTTTCTGTAGAGTTCTCAGTGCAGTGGGGGCCCTGGAAGACGAGGGGTTTGCTGTGTCTGTGTCAGGCAGAACTGAAGGCACAGCCAGGGCTGCAGGACCTGCTCTTACACCAGGTCTCAGCTGCAGACATTAAAGGAACTGGGCTGGGACCGACCAGGCAGGGGAGGGTGGAAGTGAAATAAATTCTGGAGTGATGAAATTACTTTGGACAACTTAATGAAAAAAAATGCTGAGATCCCAGTGAGCCATTAAATGGCTGAATTCCACATGGAAGCACCCATCTCCTCTGACAAGCCTTTGACAAAACTGTTGCTTTATTTTCATGGGGAGTGATTCCTGACCTGAAGATTAAAAAGACTGAGGGGAGAAAGGGGCAGAATGAGTTATGAGCCCAAGAGACAGGAGAAAATACAGTGAAAATGAGCACTGAAGTGCCTGTGCATTTATTAATCCTAAAGGTAGCACTTGCAGATGTTTGGGTTGGGTAATACTGGGGCTAAGTGGATGGTAAATGATTTGCAGAAGAGGCACAAATACTTTTAAATCTTCCAGTATACATTTTAAGGTTTTTCTTTCACAATTAAGTCCTGATAGGGTCATAGCAAACCTTCCAAGCAAGTGCCTGTAGCCAGGCTGGAGCTCTGGGTCCTGGAAGTGGAAACCCCAATGGTCAGCACCCCAAAACTGGGCACACAGCCCAGCACGGGTGTTCTTGGGGCAGGAAGGTACAGAAGCTGGCCCTGAGAACTGGATGTGTGTGCTTCAGGGCTAATTAACTGAAGTGCTAATTCCCATGGGTGGGTTTGTCACCCCAGCCTGGGGTTGTGCCAAGGCAGGGAGCAGCATCCTGCAAGGTCCACTCCCCATGGACTCGGTGGCAGAGCCAACAGCAAAATAAAATGCACGTAATTAGATTAATTAACGGTGCATTTCAAGGTCCTGAAATACAGAAGGAGCCGTGGGGCAGAGGCACAATGGAGGTTTTTGCCTGCAAACAGAACCAGTGCTATTTTTGGAGCTGGAGCTGCATCTCATCGAGGTGTGCTTTGCTTAAAAAGCTGCTTGGGTAGGAGTGGGGCTTTGAAGGGGAAGATAAATACTGTAATTAGGGCTGCAGGACAACAAAAGGATTATTCTTACCTATAACTTCATTTGAGTGAAGTTGCTGCAAAGATAATTACACCCAAAACTGCTTGCATGGGTCTCATATTTTCCTTACAAGGACTTACAAGACTCATTGAATATTTATAGGCCTGGAACATAAGACTGGGTGAAATGCAAACCATAAATCCAGTGGCACTTTATGATGATGAAACTCCTGCAGTTGTTGGCCAGGCTTGCAGGGGGAGCAGCCTGTGATGGATGTCCCAAAGTCAGAGCCCCTGCCTGAGGGGTGCAGCCTCCTCTGACCCCACGCAGTGCTGGGGGCTCCCAAACCTCACCTGGGGCTGCCTCCCTTTTCCCTCCTACCTCCCCTTTTCCTTCATGCTTGCCTTTCCCTTCCTGCCTCCCCTTTCCCTTCCTGCCTCCCCTTTCCCTTCCTGCCTCCCCTTTCCCTTCCTGCCTCCCCTTTCCCTTCCTGCCTCCCCTTTCCCTTCGCCTGCCTCCCTTTTCCCTCCTTGCTTCCCTTTTCCTTCCTGCCTCCCTTTCCCTTCCTGCCTCCCCTTTCCCTTCCTGCCTCCCCTTTCCCTTCCTGCCTCCCTTTTCCCTTCCTGCCTCCCTTTTCCTTCCTGCCTCCCTTTCCCTTCCTGCCTCCCCTTTCCCTTCCTGCCTCCCCTTTCCCTTCATGCTCCCCTTTTCCTTCATGCTTGCCTTTCCCTTCCTGCCTCCCTTTTCCCTTCCTACCTCCCCTTTTCCTTCCTGCCTCCCCTTTTCCTTCCTGCCTCCCTTTTCCCTTCCTGCCTCCCTTTTCCTTCATGCCTGCCTTGCTGTTTGTGCTTCTGCCACTGTTACCACATGCAAATGAGCATGCTGCTTCCCAGATGCAGATTTCATATTTATAGATGAAATACAGCCTGAAAAATCATATGTTAATTACATTCTGAGGGTGTAGCAGAATTTCTCACTTGAACATATTTTGTTTTGCTGGGAATAGCACAAATTCCAGATCAATATATTTATAGTTGAAGTTTAGTAATAAATGTATCAGGCTGCAGAAAAAGCTTTCTAATCATTACTATTACTAATCACTTACCATCAGCTCACTGCTTAGGCTTCTGTTCCACGTTGTGGATTTGTTTATTTGCTTTTAAAAACCTGTTTTTCTCAGAAGGCAACCAGTACTATTGGAAGGGGAGGGGGAGTGGCTGGGGATCAAAGCTGGTCAAGCAGGGCATCAGAATGAGCTGGCAGAGGAGATCTCTGAGAGGCTCTGAGGAACAGGACGCCCTGGAGCTGGCTCAGTTAGCTGGAAAAGTCCTTTTTTATTCCCTGTGAAGGTCCCCTGCCATATGTGATGCTGGAAATGCACATCCTGCAGTGGCCAAGGGAGGCAGCAGGGCCTTCCAGCTGCACTTCCATCCCCTGGCCCAGGACTCCAGGAATGGTTGGGGAAAATCTGCTCAGAAGGGAGTGCAGCAGGGCTGGGATTTGAATCTGGGAAAATCTGCTCAGAAGGGAGTGCAGCAGGGCTGGGATTTGAATCTGGGAAAATCTGCTCAGAAGGGAGTGCAGCAGGGCTGGGATTTGAATCTGGCTGCTTTTGCCCTTGGGGATTGCTATTGAAGGCTGAGCAGCCCCAACACAGAACAAGGAGGGGAATTTGGCAGAAATCAATATACAACATTCAAACTGCTTTCTTGTTTACTGTACCAGAACCTTGCAAAACATCAAAAACAGAGAGGAAAGCTTAAAATATATCATGAACTCCATTATTACAAAGAAAAGTCTGACACAACAGCCACTGGAGTCAACAGAAAACATTTCACAGGCTCTCCTTGGGGCAAGAGAGACCATACAAAGCAAACAGGTTCCTAAGAACAAGTAGTTACAAATATACCTCTAATTTTTTATTTTTCCTCTAGATGCAAGTCCTTTGATGGCCAATTACAGACTCAAAGGTGTGTCCATAATCCCTGGGCTGACAGGGATGATCAGTGTGGACTTTAAGCAGGGATCAGTCTCACTTTCAGCCCAGCCTGCTGCATTGTATTGAAATACATCCTGAAAAGCCACAAAAGAGAACAAACAGTACCAAAACACACAGTAAATTGAAATACCTCCACCCCCATCCCTTTTTACAGGTCTCATAAATCTTTCAATAAGTAAGTAAATCACAGAGGTACCAAAGGAACTGGCAAAGCAAGAGGTAGTTTATGTAACCAGCAGCTCTGGCACAGCTCTGGCACCTGGGCCGAGCTCTGCCCTGCTCCCAGGGGCAGAATGCAGGTCAGGAGAGGGGCTGCAGGGCTCAGGGCAGCACAAACACCCTGTGCTCTCCCTCTGCCCAGCCCAGCCCTGTCCTGGCTGGCTGTGATCCCTGTGCTGCCTCGGGGATGGGCTGGAGGGGGCTCTGGGCTCAGTCACTGACCCCTCTGCTCCTGCAGGCTCTGGGCTCAGGAATTCATCCCTGTGCTCGTGGAGGCCCTGGGGTCAGTGATTGACCCCTCTGCTCATGGAGGCTCTGGGGTCACTGATTTACCCCTCTGCTCCTGCAGGATCTGGGGTCAGGAATTCATCCCTCTGCTCCTGCAGGCTCTGGGCTCAGGAATTCATCCCTGTGCTCGTGGAGGCCCTGGGGTCAGTGATTGACCCCTCTGCTCATGGAGGCTGTGGGGTCAGGAATTCATCCCCCTGCTTGTGGAGGCTCTGGGGTCACTGATTTACCCCTCTGCTCCTGCAGGATCTGGGGTCAGGAATTCATCCCTCTGCTTGTGTACCTTGGGGGTCAGGAATTCATCCCTCTGCTCCTGCAGGCTCTGGGCTCACTGATTTACCCCTCTGCTTGTGCAGGCTGTGGGGTCAGTGACTGATCCCTGTGCTCGTGCAGCTCTGGGGTCAGGAATTCATCCCTGTGCTCGTGGAGGCCCTGGGGTCAGAGATTTGTGATTTACCCCTCTGCTGGTGCAGCCTGGCTTTAGCAGAAGGTGTGGCTGTGACCTGGAGGTGCCCAGGGGCTGCAGTGGGGAGGGAGCTGGGCTGCAGGGCTGTGCTGCAGGGCTGGGCTCTGCTGGGCTGGGCTGCAGTGGGCAGGGAGCTGGGCTGCAGGGTTGGGCTGCAGTGGGGAGGGAGCTGGGCTGCAGGGCTGGGCTGCAGGGGCAGTGGGGAGGGAGCTGGGCTGCAGGGCTGTGCTGCAGGGCTGGGCTGCAGGGCTGGGCTGCAGTGGGCAGGGAGCTGGGCTGCAGGGCTGGGCTGCAGGGCTGGGCTGCAGTGGGCAGGGAGCTGTGCCCCAGAACATCCCCTGTGAGCTCTGTGTGCCAGCACTGGCCTGCCCTGGGAGGCCTCAGGGCAGCAGACACCCGGCCCCTGCTGCAGGGCTGGCACCTCCTGCTGCCCCAGCCAGCCTGCTCTGGGCTCTGCTGGGCCTGGCAGGGGCTGCAGCAGCTGAGCTCGGGGCTGTCCAAACAGAGTCTGACTGGTTTTCTATTTTTCAGTCACATTTCCATCATTGAAGTGCTCTGCTGGCTCTCAGCTGCAGCCTGCCAAGTCACTGGAGTCTCTGCACAAGATTCTGGTAGGTTTTCCTTTCCCCTTCCCAGGAATGATGCTTCTTCACGTACTCTTTGGCCCTGGTTACAATTTCCTTTTCCATAATGGGGTCATTCATTAAACTCTTGGACAGCGCAACAAACTCCTAAAGAAATGAAAAAAGAAGCAGTTAAACTTTCTCTGAAAAGGTCCTGATGACACTGCAATAGCTGTACCTGTCCAACTGTGAGCCACTGTATGAAGCTGTCCTAAAGAACTTTTCAAGGTCAAGCACCATACTTTATCTATAAAAATGATCAATAAATAATAAAGTTATTATTTTACACAGCCCACCAACTAAGACATTAAAAATCAAAGACAATTCACATTTAATGACTCAAAAATTGTCTGCCTGCCTGTTCTGCATGGAGGACAACTGGCATCAGATGTTTGATCTCAGCTCAGCCAAACTTTTACCTCATTGCTGCTGCACCTTCAGAATTTTATGGTAAAACAAAGAAGTCCCAGCACAAACCCAGTGTGAGACAGGAGCAGGCATGCAGCACCTGGGCAGGTGCAGATGCAGCAGGGTTGGCTCAACAAACCAAAACCCCCCCGTATTCCCTTTAACTTCACTGGGCAAAACACCAGAGCTCCCAGATCACAACTGTCCTCTGCCTGCTCCTCTGCCTCTCCTTTACTTCTAGGCAAGGGAAATTGGGAGCTTCAAACACGTGGAAGGAGATCTGATGTCTGAGCTAATCTGCTCTGAGCAGCTGCTCTCATTTTCCATCCAGAGGCAGCTTCCAGGGCTTCAGCTTGATTACAAATGTGCTCAGATGTGTGCAAGGCAGGGCCTTGGCTCAGCTCAGCAAGCAGACAGCTCTGTGGCAGTGGGAAATGAAGGTAATGGATTACCACACAACTGGTAGTGCAGTGGGGACGGGACAAGGAGGAGGGGACAAGGAGACCCATTATTTACATTATTTACATTATTTACTGGCAGCTGAGACCAGAGTTCATATCAACAGCAGGTTAAGGAGACAACTATCCTTGAAAATCCAAGCACAGAGTGTCTGAACACCTCCACAGCTATACAATCTTTGGTTGAACTTTGGGTTTTTTGGATGAGTTTGCTGCTCAGTGCACAGTGCAGTGCGAGCCCTGGGCCACAGCGATGGGGAAATGCTGAACAGGGATCAGCACTGCCTGGGCTGCTCCTGACAGGAGAATCAGCAGGAAAACCAAACAGCCAGAGCCACGGGTCACTGTGCAAGGGTTGGAATGGGGAGATTTCCATGCACACAGGTGAGCAGTGACCTGCTGCACAGCAGAGCAGTGCTGCTGGTGAGCTGAGCCCTGCAGGAGCCCAGCTGTGCCCAGCCTCAGCTCCTGGGGCACTCAGTGAAGGCATTTCAGCCTTCCCTGGGGCTTCTGTCAGAGCTCACCCAGCTCCACTGACACCCCAGGGAAGGGGGGAAGGGCTCACCCGACTTGTGCTGCCTTCACCCAATTGCCTGGAAAATCACAGTAATAAACACTGCTCACACTCAACCACATCCCCAACTAATTCTATGCTCCTGTGGAGGATTTTATTTAAAGTAATGTTTAAAAGTAATTTATGTAAATTACCTACGAGCAGAAGCAGCAATGTAACATTTCTTGACAGGTAGTCCTATTAGCATTCTTTTAAATTGTGGATATGGAGGACAAAAACTTGGAAACATGTAAATGATAGAAGAAATGAGATCCTTATTCACAGTTACAATACTCAGGGCTGAGGATAATTTCAGGAAAAAAAAGCCAAACTGAGTCCAAAGCATAAAATTTGAGAAAATGCAGGAGAGAGAAAAAGCAAATGGAAAAATAGCAGGAGGTGGTGAGTAAGGACTCCTCAGCTCATCCTCCTCCTCCTCCTCATCCAGTGTGACCCCCCAGGCACCTGCAATCCCCCGGGAGCCCCTGGGGGATGCACTGTGACTCGTGTGGGCTCTGCCTCGTCCCTCGGAGCCGCTGCCTGGCTCTGGGGGCTCAGGGTAAGTTCATTTCTCAGGTGTGCCCAGCCACAGGGGCTGGCATGCAGCTGAGGTGTGTGCCAAGTCTGCTCGTGCAGCACACAGACTGCACAGCCCCGAGCTCTGCCAGGAAATGCAGATTGCAGCTTGCTGAATAAACTACAGGGAGGTAGCACATCTGCAGAGCTGTCCTGCTGTGGCTGTGACATTTGCACAAATATTCATGCACTCCCTTATTCTGCTGTAGCTTCACTTTTGGTGAGAGGGGTCAAATTCCCAAATTGCCTTTCAGTTATAGAAGCTAAGGGCAGGACTGCAGCAGCCCGGGTGAAGGAGGTGATCTCTGTGCCAGCTTACTACTTGGGGCCATCCATCCTTCTAACAAACCTTTGTTCCCACCCAGGAGGGGGTATAATTAATATATATATAATATATATATATATATTTAAATATATATATGTAATATATAGAACATATATATAATATATATAAGTATATATAACATATAAAATTATATAATATATAAAACTATATCATATATAAAATTATATAATATACAATATAACACATATAAGATATACTATAAATAATATAATATGACATTATAATAATATGTAATAAAATAATATAAAATATAAAAAAATAGACATATATCTAGAGAGAGAGTAATAATATATATATTAATATATATGTGCAGATGGCAGCAGAAGCCAGTGCAAGGCTCAGCTGTAAGTCACAACCCAGAGAAATGGGAGCAAATCATCTCCTGTACACCCAGAAGCACTCTCACTCCTGCCCTTTCCACGGGAATGCTCCACCACAGGCCTTTTTCAACAGCAACATCCAGAATATACTTTTCTCCTGCTAAATTGACCAATCATCCCTAAAGAAAATGTCAGCTCCTCTGTGCAGTACCTAAAATAAATCCTGTAATATTTTGCAGAGACACAGAAACACAGGTATCCTGGAGATAAAGCTGGAAAACGAGGGCACGGAGCAAAAAAGGATGAAGAATTCCTCAATTACCACGAGAGCTGCACGGGTGCCACAGCTCACACATAATGAAAACAAGATGCATGGTTAATATATCATCTGTATAATGAAATTAGGTCTGCAGTTAGAGCAGCTCAGAGCCGTTTCAGCAGACAGAAGGCGACTCTCCAGCAGCAGCCCTGGCCCCGGGTGTGCAGGCAGTGCCAGGCACCTGCAGGAGCTGTGTGAGCCCAGTGCTGGCCCTGCCACACGCCAGGTTTGCTCTGGGGTAGGGGCACAGCTTCCCTGGGCTGCTGCCAGCCCTGCACACCCCCACAGGGGCTGGCCAGCCCAGCTCCATCCACCCCTGCCCCTCCTTAGTGCCTTGGACGTTTATTTGCCTCCTTCTCCTTGTTTAGGTCCTTCTGTGAGCTTTTACAGACATGGCAGATAGAATTCTGAAGCCCAGCCTGCTGATAACTTTTTGTGCCTTCCCTTTTAACTCAGCTTTGCATTATTTATTGCCCCGTTTTATCTCTTACTTTTTTTACTTCAGGTCCCATTAACTCAGTGTCAAATATTCCATAAACTTGCAAATTCAAGCAGCAGCAGGATCAGCCGTGATTTAAGAGTGATGTGCACAGAAATGTGCACAAAAGGTTCCAGGGCTTTCCCTCCCACATTAACTGTTTCCATCTGGGCGCTGCCTCCATGACTGGCAGGGCTTTTGCTGTTTCCAGCCAAACACAAATGGTTAAGGATGGCTACAGTGAGACACAACATTTCCTGCTTTCCTGGAAGCCACAAAAGCTCACTTCCAGCAAGAAAGCCAGCAGCACTCACCATTTAAAACAATTCTCACTGCATAATGCTCAACTAATATCCCTGTAATCTGGCTTACAGAAGACAGCAGGCAGAACTGCTCCTACCCGAGGTACTGCAAAGCTGTCCCTGCTCAGGTCAGAAACAACTGAAAACAAGCAATAATTTCTGTCCTGAGCTGTGACCCAGCCTGTGTCCTCACAACCAAACTCAGCAAGGAAAATTCCTTTTCTAACCCACCAAACTTCCCTCAGCTTTGGTGGTCCAGATTCTTGCAGCCAGCCAGACTTGACAGATTCTCCCAAGCACCTAGACACAATCTAATCCTTTTGTAGATTAAGGCATTTTCCTCACTAACTTGATGCATCTGAGAGCACAACAGAAAAGATACTTAAGGTGTCAAAGTAATCAAAGTAAAAAAAAAAACCAAAAATTTCTTACCAGAACGTTTTCCAGTCCCAGCTCACTCAGTCCAATCTTCTGAGGTCACATTCTAAGTGCCATGGGCACTGTCCCTTGTCCCAACAATTAAAATTTCTTCTAACTTAATTGCATTTCTTTGATCTAATGTGACTCTCAACCTCTGGCAGGCCGTGTGCAGTGGCTTAAAACTGCATTTGACATGGTTTGGGGAGATAAGGAACACGAGCAAAGGGTCACTTTATCTCCAAAGCCCTGAGTGCTGAGGTTGGCATCCTGAGCTCCTCTGCATGAAGGAAGTTCAACATCTCTGCATTGGGATTGGGGCATTCCCCTGCAAACAGGGCTTGTGCTGACCCATTTCCAGCTCACACATCAAGTGACAGCCATAAAGCATGGAAGGGTTTGCACTAAGTGAGCTGCAGGTGCTGCTTTGCAGGGGCAGGGGATGTCACCTTCCCTCCTCGGGTGCTGCACAAACTTGGCTCATTCCACTGCAAACGTTTCACCTGCCAGCTCACAGGTAAATGGTGCTGCAAGTCCTCCCCACAGAGATCCTGAGCTAGAAAAGCAGCAAAAAGGGGCAGCAGCAGGGTGGGGCTCAGATCTCTGGCATGGCACGGTGCAGAGAAGGGAGCTTAGGAAAAAGGGGTTCACAGAAAGTGAAATGACAGTGGTCTGGACATGCTGGCAGCCTGTGGCTCCTGCCCTGCTCTGACCAGTCCTGCAGTCCTCAGCCCTGTGCCCAGAGCCCCTGAGACTGGGAGGAATCTGAGCTCAGGGTGAACTGCAGCAGGTTTTTGATGGGTCTCAGATCCCAAATAAAGTCCCACCCCTGGGAGGTGGGAGGGATGCTTGGGGACCACAGGAGAGGCTCATGCAGGGAAGTGTGATGAGACTGGGCCTGGTATTAATAATGCATTGCAACTCCAAGGCCAGTGCAGGCAGAGTGTGAGGAAACACAGAATGCACCAGCACCAGGAGAGCTCTCCTGTTCAGCAGGGTTGTGTGGCCTGGAAGTCTGGAGGAGCTGGAAGTCAGAGAGATTTTTTTGTCAGGTAATACATGTACAGAAGTTATCAAATAAATATTTTGGGTTTTGTAGAAACCATTGGAAAAACTGAATATTCCAGAAAGAAACAGAACCATACTTGAATTGGAAGAGTTTTTCTATTAAAAACTTCTTCAAAACCAACCAAGAGGATTCACCTTCCAAAACCACAACTTGACAGGATGCATTAATCACACAGTCCACAAAGTAAATCAGTTCTCTACTTTGCAAAATTATCAAAAGTTGTATTCTAGTATGCTTTTTTAATCTCGAGTTGGATAAAACTCTGAGGGAATCTTTTTCTGAGATCATTTTCCATGGCACACATGAATATGTAACAGCAAAGCCCTAATGCAGGAAAATATGCTGCAATGAAAATTTCCAGCATTTCAATATGGGTAGTGTTCCCTCTCTTCCCACTCTTATTTAACTTCCCTGAGACTTCATCCTAACACTTCGCTTAATTTTATCATTAATTTCTCTGACTGAGCAGTATCTTGCCTCTAAAAATACTTCCCATTAGCACTGACTGCAGAAGTGACAGAAAATGTGTCACCTGGAGCTGCGGGCTCGTTCTCCTGTGAGCTGCAGCTCACACAAGTTGGCTCACACACGTTCCCCTCGCAGACATTCCTGGAAGGGAAAGCTCATCACCCAGAGCATCTCCTGCAGGGTTAGGTCGTGGAGCCTCCGGAGCAGCAAGCGGGGGCTCGCAGAAAGCTTCAGCAAGGCTGACACCTAGTACGAGCTCCCTGAACTGCAGAGGAGGGCGGCAGCTCCGGAGGCACAGCCCAGGGAAAGGCACCCAGAGGTTTGCTTACCTGGGGAGTTGAAAAGAGCAGCCCTGTTTCCTTGTGCTTTACTATTGCTGCGTTCCCAGGAATGTCCCTTGCCAGCACTGGAATCTCTAAATCCATTGCCTAGAGGAATATAGAAAAAAGGATTTGTCTGTATTTCTGTAGTTTCTAAGGATTTGTGGATTTTGAGGTGCTAACAACGACAATTTCAAAAGGAAAAGCAGAAACAACTAAGACATTTTTTTACTAAGAAAAGCAGAAACCCCAACTTCTTTCCCACCTCTCCAGATTTTTAATTGAAAAATTAAAAATTGTCAATTCCAGGCTGTGCCAAGCCCCTTGCCAGAGCACAGCTGCACTCTGAGGGGTGCAGACCCCGGGCCCTCAGCTCTGCAGGGCTTTGAGCACTGCTGCTGAGCCGGGGAGCCTGGACACCACTGCCTGTACCAGCAGAAATATTCACATTGTGCAATTATCACCGTGTGGAATGAGCAGGAAATTCCCTCCCCCAAATCTGCTCCATGCTGATTCCCTGCCACTCCAGAGTCAATGCAGTTTTAATTGCTGTCATTACAGTCCTGCATGAGGAGCAATTCTGCTTCGGTCCACACAGCAAGGAAACAAAACTCCAAGGAGAAAACCGTGATTTTTTATAGTTTGTACAAAACTGAAGAGACAATAGCCAGGCTGATAAGGCACAGGAAGGGACTGCTGGGACCTAGCAACATATTTTAATAATTTAAAATACCAAGAAAAGCCCTGTTTAAATCACCACTGCAGGTGTATTAGTGTGACCATAGCATTTCCATAGCCCTGGCACAAACCTCTGCTTTGCAGCAGTTAGTGCTAAAAATAACAACCCTTAATGACAAAACCTGTTCTACACTTGGTATCAGAAACCTCCAGATTATCTGGGGTCACTCAGACACGGTAATGACCCTCCAGGGCTGGTGATTGATGGAAGCTGAGCACCACGTTTATATTTAATTTTCTGTCATTTCCAAACTCTGGAGGGAAAGCCATTTGTTCTGTGTGACTTGGAGGGCAGGAACTGCTGCACAGGAAAATCTTCAGGTCCCACAGCACAGGTACCAGTGAATTACAGCTGCTGAGAGGCACAACAGATGGCCAAATGCTTCAGATGCAGGGCTGCCTCCGTGCCACTGGCCTCCACCAAATGGATTGGGCTGTAAATAATTACTGCGAGAAGTGCCTTCAAATTTCATTTAGATACTTCGACTATTTTCGAGCAGTAAAAAGAACCATTTGCATTGTTGAAAATATGTATAATTTACTGAGCTGGCTTCCAGGAATAATAGCATCAAGCAGCATTTTAGTCCACTGGCCATCTGCTTTGTTGCATTATTTTGACTGCAGATGTGTTTGCTGCTGCAGGAGGATGCAGGGTGTAAACTGAGGCTGTGGGGACGTTCCCCAGTAAACATCTCCCCCAGCAATGCAAGTGCAGGCTGTATTTACCACTCTGCCTTCTGGACTGCCCTCATTGCCTTCCTTCTAGCCTATGCATCCTCTTGCTGCCTCTTCAATTTTATTGCTTTACAGCATCCCTCCATCCCTATTTTTTTTATTTTTATCATTTGCTCTGGCTGTTATTCCAGGCTGTTGGTGCTGCACACGTTGGGCAAGAGTGGATTGTGCCTCACAGCACAGCACAGTCTGTCCAGCTTCCTTTTCTACAATTTTAAATTGGCTTATTTTGGTAAAAGCATAAGAATGTAAGTTTTTACAGCAGCTGGAATATTCCTGAGAGCTCAGAAAGGGGCTCCAGTGGAAGGGTGCTGGACTCCAAACCCTGCTGGTAGCAGGAACAGGGGAACACAGAAACCCTTCAGCAGTGGAGCCTCTTCCACCACTGCACAGCTCCTGAGCCCTCCGAGCTGAGATGCATTTTTCATGTCCTTTCTAATGTTTTGTTTTCTCCTCTTCAAATGCCAAACACAAACTGATCAGTTACAGTCAAATCTCAGAGATCTCAGACCCAGCTGACAGAGCAATTAGTGATGGCTCCTGGCTCTTCCAGACCTCCAGGCAGGTGGAACTAGATGGGATTATATATTTATCTCATTTATCTATGATATATTTATCTCACTCTGAAATGCTGTTTACAGATTCATGACCTTGTTAAATGGTGAACTTTGAGGACAATCAGAGTTGCATTTCCAAACTCCAGCCTGTTTTCTCCAGCCTAGGCCCGGAAGACTTCCATGCAGAGTTTTCTGCCTTATTATCTAACAATAAAGACAATTATACAGGTAACTCAGGAGCTGGCCCTTCCTGCTGCTGGCCATCCCAGGAGAGAACTCTGTGCTGGGCTGCACTTCCAGGGACAGAGGTGTTCTCAGCAGGGTGTTTTGTTAGCATGTCTCAAATCCACCGAGCAAACACACAAATCCCAAACCCTCTGGAATGGGCACCAGCGTCCTGTCAGCCCTGAGCTGGCCCAGTGTGCACCAGGGTGGGCACACAGGCACATGCTGTTCTGGGGTGGAAATGCACTGCTGGTATTTGGGGTGGGCATGCACTGCTGTGGCATTGGGGGTGGGCAGGCACTGCTGTGGAAATGCACTGCTGTGGCATTTGGGATGGACATGCACTGCTGTGGCATTGGGGGTTGACAGCACTGCTGTGGCATTGGGGGTTGACAGCACTGCTGTGGCATTGGGGGTTGACAGCACTGCTGCTGTCTCAGCAGCACCTGCCCCTCCTCATTCTCACAATGCTCCCTTGGTTCTCACCCTGAGGACTCTCAGATGAGTGGAAGTGCAGCTCATTAGAAGCAGAAAGGGAGGCTCGTTTATGTTACATAACCGTGTACAAATGATGTGATAATTCTGTGATAACAATGCACCAACATTCCGCACCCACCAAACAAATGAAACAATGAAAGGCACTTGCCCAAAGAACTTCCACTTCAAGTACACTTATTTTTTCTGAGAAAGCACTTGACACTAAGCAGTGCCCCGCTTTGACAGGTATGAAATAAAACTGGTTATTAATTTTCAATACTGATGGCAAAAGGATTAACTGAGCGTGTCATTCATTCATTAATCATTTCAGAATTAAATAACCAAATACAGCTCTTAGATTGCTTTTTGAAGGGATGTAAAAATAAATGAAAGTCCATTCTAGCAACATTATAAGGAAGTGGGTGTTGAATCAAGCCTAGTGACAACCCCGGGAAATCAGAATGATTTCTGCATCTCAGGTCTGCACTGTTAATTTAGCAGGGTTGATAAAATTACTTTCTATCCTTTAAAAATAAATAGAGAAAGCATAACAAACTGTCAGTTCAAGGGAAGAAAACCTTAATTGCTAACACTGGCAAAAAGAAATACTTTAGTTTTGCCTTCAGTAGCTTTGAAATATGGACATGGAACGCTGAGAGCATCTCCAGGGACAGAAGTGCTTTCAGAGCGAGGTGACCCCCCCGAGTGCCCCAGGAAGGTGGCATTACCTCCAGGATGGCAGCAGACATGCCCTCGGAGGTGGAGCTGTTCACCAGGGCCAGGCAGCTCCTGAGAGCAGCGTGCAGCTCCTGCTGGGGCAGCTCCTGCAGCACGTGCACCCCGGGGGCCCTGCAGCAACACAGCCAGAGCTGAGCAGGGCCCAGGGAGCTGCTGGGGCCCTTCCCGGGGAGGGGGGCACTGCAGCAGGCTGCAGGGCTCGGGGGGTCCCTCCCTGGGGCCATGGGGATGTCCCACCCTGGGGCCAGGGGATGTCCTACCTTGGCTGTGCCCAGAGCTGCCCAGGGCCATGGGGATGTCCCCACCCCTGGGGACCATTTTTGTCCCACCCTGGCTGTGCCCAGGTCTGCCCAGGGCTCAGGACTGTCCCATCCTAGCTATGCCCAGGGCCATGGGGCTGTCCCACCCTGGGGACCATCGTGTGTCCCATCCTGGCTGTGCCCAGGGCTCAGGGATGTCCCCACCCCTGGGGACCACAGAGATGTCCCCACCCTGGCTGTGCCCAGGGCTCAGGGCTGTCCCACCCTGGCTGTGCCCAGGGCTCAGGGTGTCCCACCCTGGCAGTGCCCAGGGCTCAGGGATGTCCCCACCCCTGGGGACCATAGAGATGTCCCCATCCTGGCTGTGCCCAGGGCTCAGGGCTGTCCCTGCCCGTGGCTGGGAGGTGGAACTGGGGCATCCTGCAGCCAACCCAAACCCTCCCGCGGTTCTGTCACTGATAAATCTGAATCAGTCAGTCAGATGTGATTTAACCCAAACCATCAATACACTGTCATTCTAAGCCCTTCAGTGCCTGGGATGCCAGGGCTGGGACTGTCCCAAGGATCCCAGCAGCCTTGTCACAACTCAGCTGTGCAGGGACATTCCTTTGTAAATGCACAGTTGAAAAGGGGCAGCAGCTGCCTTCCTTCAGCAGAGAGCAGCCTTAACGTGAACTTCTTACCTTTTAACTCTCTCCTCGACTTCGCTGGTGAAAAGTGGATCCACCTGGACAGGAGCACACAGAGGTCAGGGGCACTGCAGCTCCTGCTTGAAACACATCTCTCAGCAGAGATCAGAGGGCTCAGCCCCAGCTCTGGAGCAGGGGGGCAGGAGGAAAGCCATGGGTAAAAAACCCAGAAGCAGCACTGAGAGGAAGGTGAATGCTTCAAACAAAACTTTAAAGTTTGGTGGCCTCGACTTTTCTTTAAGTTTCATAAGCTCCTATTCTTGGATATGGAGCTGCTGAAAATTAGCTGCTGTTCCAAATTTCATTACAGAAATGAACAAAAGGAAAGCTGCAGTGGTGAAAGTTTTACATAACACAGGCCTCAGTCCTGCAGCTTTACCTCGGCTGCACCATCTGAGACAGCCAGGCACAGAAAACAGGGAATAGGATGGAATCTCATGGCAGCAAATAGATCACCTCATGGGAGTAAAGCAGAAAATAGAGTGGGGGCCTTTGTTCTTTCTCTTCTTAATTAATATACTCTTACTGAATGGGCTTTTAATATTCACAATAAAAATTACATGCTTCATAGATGGTGGCACTGATTTTCTTAAGATTCTTGTGGTTTGAGAAGCTATGTGAATAAGAAGAGTACAGCTAAATACCAACAGAGCTCAGATGTATTTTTTTCCTTTAGAAATATTTTAGTTCCATGAGAGAAATACGCTCTGAAATGTTTTAAGGAGGTTCAGCCCTTGATCCAGCCTGTGCACTGCCACTGGGTTATCTCTTGTGGTTTGAGAAGCAATGTGAATAAGAACAGCTAAATACCAACAGAGCTCAGATGTATTTTTTTCCTTTAGAAATATTTTAGTTCCATGAGAGAAATACGCTCTGAAATGTTTTAAGGAGGTTCAGCCCTTGATCCAGCCTGTGCACTGCCACTGGGTTATTTCTGGTCTGTAAAGACATTAGCTTGTGAAAAGTGAAGCAAATTTAAAAAGATGACTGAAATGTTTATAAAATCCTCACTGGAGGCAGCAAGTGCATCTTTTGACTCTGAAGCACAGCTTCATTACACCTGCTCTAGATTTGCCTTCCACACCAGTTCACTTCCAAATCATTTTGTGTATTAGCGTGGAAAAAAGCCCAGATAAAATAAAAATGTAAAAACAGCTTTTAACAATAAAATCCCATGTACCCAAATTTGCAAAGAACAAAACTGAATGAGAAAAGAGAGAAATTGTTCTTATTTGCCCATTGAGAGTCTATTTGGTTTTTTTGTAAAGCAAATTGCCTGCAAGTTTTCAGGCTCATGTGGAGATGAATCAGAGATGAGACTGATACAGAGGGAACACATCACCCAGATGAGCCAGGGAAGCTTTTAGCCCCTTCTAGCAGCAGGGAGAGTTTGTTTCCTAGACACAGCTGCCTCCTCAGGCCTTTGCCCTGCCTGAAGCAAGGCTGCAGGCTGCCTCTCCGAGCCCTGTGCTGCAGGATCCACCTGGAGAGCTCTGATTTCCTTCTCAAAACCCCTGCAATTACTTCTGGAACTTTAGCACAAAGTTCCACAGAAGCAGAAGAATCAGGACAGAGGCAGAACTTTAAGGTTATTCTGAGATGGGGATACATAAGAAACCTGAGTTTATCCCAGGCTTTCGTGCTATGAGGTTCTAAATGGAAAAGGAGCTGGGCTGGGTGTGTGAGCCCCAGCTCTGCCCTTGCTTGGTGTCAGACAGAGCTGAACCTCATCTTGCTGGAGCATTATTCTGAGATGGGAATGTATAAAAACCCCTCAGTTTGTCCCAGGCTTTCGTGCTATGAGGTTCTAAATGGAAAAGGAGCTGGGCTGGGTGTGTGAGCCCCAGCTCTGCCCTTGCTTGGTGTCAGACAGAGCTGAACCTCATTTTGCTGGAGCTGTTAAGGTGCCTGAGCCCAGCAGTGGCACCCGAGCCCAGGTGGGATGGAACAAGGACCCCGTGCTCCAAGGGACCAGGAGGTGACAACAGGGACAGCAGCACCTGCAGCCCCTCACAGCACTGAAATCCTCACCAGCAACGTGGGAGAGAACCCCCCCAGGGCAACTGCTGCCTGTCAGCATTGGACAGGCTCATTTCGTGGTTATTCCTACTGAAATGGGCACTGCTGATAGTTGATTTTAGCAGTGTGTGAGTGTCTAAAACCCCACAGGTGTAGCAGCAGAGGCCAAGAGTGGGATCTTTGATGGATGTTCTGTTCAGGTCTCCTCCCTGTGCCGGAGTGAAGCAGGGAGGAGCAGGGCTGGGCTGCTCAGGGTCTGCTCCTGGCAAAGCCTGGGAGCTGCTGGCAGTGCAGGAGCCTCCACTGACAGCCCTGGAACTCTGGCAGCACTGCCCAGCTCAGCCCTGCTGGGAGCAGCTTTGCAAGGGCTGGGGCTTCTATCTCCAGCAGAAATGCTCACTGGTAATGGGGATTGGTAAACTCCTCCATGAGGATTGGACACCTCATTGGTAATGAGGATTGGTAAACTCCTCAGTGAGGTTGGACACCTCTTTGGCAATGAGGTAATTGGTAAACTCCAATGGACCCAGGCTCAGTTTGGAGGAGAGCTGAGGCATCTCAGACGAGGCAAATGGAAATGTTTAGAAATAAAAATTACAGCTGCAACTTACTGCAGGTCCAATAATGCCCAGATGGACGCTGGGATCCTTTCTGTGCCAGTCTGAAACAGAAGAGGAACAACTGTTTTATTAACAAAAATTATCACTTTTTAAATCAATGTAAATAGCTCCATGATTAAAGAAGAACTAGACAAATATTCTGTTGCTACTTAAAAGACTGCCTGTGCACCAGATTCCATGCTCAGCCCTCACACTGCTCCTCAGAATTCAAATATTAGCATATCTGAAAGTTAGTATTTAGCCTTTCTGCTTCATGCAATCTCTTCTGACTCAAGGGTTATTTAACCAAGCTCAGATATTAATTTTGAATCACTCAAGAGAACAATGCTCTGTATAATGCAGTGATTCTGGCCACTGAGCCAAAATTACTTGAATATTTTCCTGTGTAAAGGAACAAGTGGAAGTAACTGCAGCCATTACAATCATTACCCAGTAATATGCACAAGAGACATCTGCTGCTTTTTAACCCCAGAATAAACCACTGCACTCACTGCACACTGCGTTTGTTCCTCAGCATCACGAGGCTTCAAGGGTTACGAAAGTCAGTGGAACAGTGCAGGATGAATTTCCAGCCCAGAATGATTTTACAGACACAAACACAGCCTGACAAAATATTCCCTTCTGTGACTCTGAGGAAACTTCAGCCTAGTCTGAGCGCTGAGCCAGAACAATGGGTGGTAAAATTTGTTTGCAGCTTCAATGGCATTAATTAGCACACATGCAAATCAATGTAACAGCCACGGGACAGCAAGATAAAAAAGTTATTTTGAAGTAGATGATCTTTTCTTTTGTCTTCCATCAATATTGCATGTAACAGCAAAACAGTTTTCTCAGCAAGCAAAACCATCAAATATTGCTTTGATTTGAATGCTCTGTTATTCCCAGCAGGTTGGAAAAGACATGGCACAGAAATGATGTGCTGAACAGATCAATGGTTACATAAGAATTCCTTTTTCAAATGTAAATATATGATGATGTTTCCTGCAATGATAAAACAGCTCATGCCAAACTTATCAACGGCAGAAGAATGCACTGAGTGACAAACAAGAATATTGGAACAGGCAGAACTCACCTGAGAAAGCCTCCACCAAATACAGAGGGTCCTTGACTCTGCGGAGCCCACACACCAGGAGGAACAGATGCACCCTGCCCGTGGCTGCAGGGATGCCTGGGGAAATCATTGCACAGATAATTTCAGTGAGCAGTGAGGCAGGGGAAACCTGAGCACCCCAAAGTGTTCCACGAACCAGCACACACCGTGGTAAAAGCAGTGAAGAGCAGATCATGAAAAATTACCAATATTCCCCATTTCCTGCTCTGCATCAATCCTGGACTGAGGGTGTGCATCATTTCTAGAGCACAGGGTTTATGTGCAGAGGCAGTCAAGGGGCAGGACTTGGGGGAGCTCTGGTGCTGTTCCTGGACCCCAGAACCAGCTCTGGGCCCTGGCAGCTGCACAGCTCCAGGTGGCTCCCAGTGGTTTTATCCTAAAAAGAACTTTGCATCCATAATAACTCAGCACCTATTTCCAGATATGAGATTAGGTTGAGCAGTGCAGGTCTCGCTCCTGATCTGACACTTTTTGTGGTTACAGGCCAGGGAATTCCTCATGGTTCTCAGCCCTGTATGCCAGCACTGCTACAGAACAGATAACTAGAAATGGAATTACTACACAGCATTTATTTTACACTTACTGCTAAACACAGATGGAAGATAACTTGGGGGGAAAAAACCTCAACACGGGAGCTTTTACCATGGAAATCTCTTAGAGCAGCAGCTCAGGAGTGTGCAGCTGTGCCAGGAAAGGGAGCTGTGCTGCAGGACAGTGCATGGCAGGACCATTCATCCAGGACACTGGACAAGGCTCACAAGTGAGCTCTGCCAAAATGTCTTTGGTAAAACAGCACAAGTCAAAAGCTGCTGACTGTATCAAGCTGAAGGAATAAACACTAGAGGGCTCGAAGAGTTCACACTGAAGAAAGCAGCGTGGTGTCCCTCAGCCCAGCCCAGGTGCAGCTCAGGGCACAGCGAGTGCCACCCCAGGCAGCTCTGCCAGGCTCCCTGGGGACACCAGGGACACAGCAGGGCTCTGCTTGCACAGCACAATTCTGCTTTTAAAGTTCAGTCCACTTCAGGAGCACTGAAATTCCTGTCACAGGCTCATAGTGAGCCTGTTCCACTCAACTTAAACAACCCTGAGGTGTCAGAAGTGGCTGCAGAGACATGGTAAATAACACTTTACTGGTTATTGGAAAGATATAACTTCTGATTGATAACACACAAACCTTTGGGCTGGAGAAGCCATTCCTCTGGCATTGGTACAGACCTGCAGCAGTGCTTTCATGTATGACAGACTCACACAAACAAACTACCAAAAAGTGTCACCCAAACTCAGACTGCACTGCAGCTACCCCCCAAGGCAAAACACCCATTTTAAATTAGGACTCACACTCACTGATGCTGAGCTCTGGCTGTTTAGAAACAGAACTTGGAGTTAGTTTTGTTGGAGCTGCCTGCAGCTCTGATTTCCCACCAAAAGCCATTTGTCCCTGAGAGCAGCAATTCCAGCACCTCTGTCCTCCCAGGACACTGAGGTGCAAGGGCTGCATCCCACCACAGCCACAGCTGGCTGAAAACTGCCCTTTGAAAAGGACCTTTTGCTTTTTCCTTCAGCTTAAACCAGACTTCAGTGAATGTTTCTATCCTTGTGCCTTTTGCAGAGGCAATAAGATATTACCAGCTCGTGTGATTGTGAAAGGAAAACTCATCAGTGTGGCACCATCAGTGATTTTCTGTTGTGCTCTACAGACCTTCAGAGAACAACACCAAGTCCACACTATTTAGGCTTATTTGTCCATTTCTGGGTTTGTTCAGAAACAAAACCTAAGCCATGATGAGATGGGTGAGGGGAAATAACCTTTTGATTTCCCACCAAAAGCCATTTGCAGCAATTCCAGCACCTCTGTGCTCCCAGGACACTGAGGTGCAAGGGCTGCATCCCACCACAGCCACAGCTGGCTGAAAACTGCCCTTTGAAAAGGACCTTTTGCTTTTTCCTTCAGCTTAAACCAGACTTCAGTGAATGTTTCTATCCTTGTGCCTTTTGCAGAGGCAATAAGATATTACCAGCTCGTGTGATTGTGAAAGGAAAACTCATCAGTGTGGCACCATCAGTGATTTTCTGTTGTGCTCTACAGACCTTCAGAGAACAACACCAAGTCCACACTATTTAGGCTTATTTGTCCATTTCTGGGTTTGTTCAGAAACAAAACCTAAGCCATGATGAGATGGGTGAGGGGAAATAACCTTATTTTCTTTCCTGGTCACATTGACCCACAGCAGGTCTTTTGAAAATATTCCATTTATCCACCTCCTAGCACCTGGCAGCATTGACTGCTGTCCTTGAAAAGGAAATCCATGGGTTTATGGCTGAGGCTTCTGTCTTTAAGACAATGATTTTATTTTCTTAAGCATGAAACAGATGAATTTGTCCAGCTGCAGCACCAATCTTTGCCACTCCAACCCTTCCAATTCATGGCCTCTGTTGAGTCCATCTCCCTGCACACTGAGGAAATCCTTCCAGGAGCTCCTGCAGCCCTGGCACCTGGGTTTGGGTTTGTGCTGCCCAGCTGAGAGCCCAGAGCAGCCTCCGTGGGGCTGCAGCAGCAGCAGCAGCTCCTCTGCCCAGCCTGGGCTCTGCTCACACAGCCTGGAACAGCAGCAGCCCAGCTGGGCCTTCCTCCTGTCACCTCAAACAGGTCATTCAGACAATCCGAATTCATTCAAGCCTTCATTCCTGTGCTGGGCCACCTCCCAGAGCAGTTTGCTCCTCCAAGGGAGGGGCAGGAACTCCACCCAGGGCTCAGCCTGCATCCACAGCCTGCTGGCAGCCACTGCTGGGGCTGCTGATGGGCTGGTGAGGACACAGAGGCTACAGGAACCTGAAAACTTCCAGGGACTAATCCAGAGAAATTAGACTGCAAAATTCTCAATCAAATCTTCTCTCCCCTGTTTCTCATTATTTCTAACAGATCAGACAACAGAAAAGCTCTGCACTTCCAGATCAGTTAAATAAACTCAGTTTATTGCTGCTATCACACAGTTTTTACTACACTCAGCTCTGTAAGTGCACAAACTTTTACTGTTCAGTTTTTCTTACGTGGGTCTCTGTTTCCAGCACAGCTTCAGGAAAATCTAATGCCTCTGTAAAACCCTGCCTGTGCCATGACAGGTGAAGTAAACTTCTCGAGCTCAGAGAACAGCCCTGCCACAAAGCAGAAATGACAGGAGAGTTGAAAAATCAAACTACAAAAGCATATAAATAAAACATATTGCACGTTTTATTTGCTGGTGCAATAAGCATGTGATGACCCCATGGCTCCACAGCACCATGGCAGCAGCTCTGGGCCGTGGCTGTTGGCTGGACAAAGATTTCTCAGTCTGGTAGAGCACGCTTTGTGAGTTATCTGCATCTTCTCATCACATGGTGGTTGCTGGGGTCTGATCTCAGCCCCCTGCACTGAAATCAAAAGCAGCTTTTCATCCTGCACTGATGACTTCAGGCCTGGCTGGTCAGAAGCTGCTCTGCCCCAGCCCTGTGTCTTTAAGACAATGATTTTATTTTCTTAAGCATGAAACAGATGAATTTGTCCAGCTGCAGCACCAATCTTTGCCACTCCAACCCTTCCAATTCATGGCCTCTGTTGAGTCCATCTCCCTGCACACTGAGGAAATCCTTCCAGGAGCTCCTGCAGCCCTGGCACCTGGGTTTGGGTTTGTGCTGCCCAGCTGAGAGCCCAGAGCAGCCTCCGTGGGGCTGCAGCAGCAGCCCAGCTGGGCCTTCCTCCTGTCACCTCAAACAGGTCATTCAGACAATCTGAATTCATTCAAGCCTTCATTCCTGTGCTGGGCCACCTCCCAGAGCAGTTTGCTCCTCCAAGGGAGGGGCAGGAACTCCACCCAGGGCTCAGCCTGCATCCACAGCCTGCTGGCAGCCACTGCTGGGGCTGCTGATGGGCTGGTGAGGACACAGAGGTGACAGGAACCTGAAAACTTCCAGGGACAGGCTACTAATCCAGAGAAATTAGACTGCAAAATTCTCAATCAAGTCTTCTCTCCCCTGTTTCTCATTATTTCTAACAGATCAGACAACAGAAAAGCTCTGCACTTCCAGATCAGTTAAATAAACTCAGTTTATTGCTGCTATCACACAGTTTTTACTACACTCAGCTCTGTAAGTGCACAAACTTTTACTGTTCAGTTTTTCTTATGTGGGTCTCTCTTCCTAGCACAGCTTCAGGAAAATCTAATGCCTCTGTAAAACCCTGCCTGTGCCATGACAGGTGAAGTAAACTTCTCGAGCTCAGAGAACAGCCCTGCCACAAAGCAGAAATGACAGGAGAGTTGAAAAATCAAACTACAAAAGCATATAAATAAAACATATTGCACGTTTTATTTGCTGGTGCAATAAGCATGTGATGACCCCATGGCTCCACAGCACCATGGCAGCAGCTCTGGGCCGTGGCTGTTGGCTGAACAAAGATTTCTCAGTCTGGTAGAGCAGGCTTTGTGAGTTATCTGCATCTTCTCATCACATGGTGGTTGCTGGGGTCTGATCTCAGCCCCCTGCACTGAAATCAAAAGCAGCTTTCATCCTGCACTGGTGACTTCAGGCCTGGCTGGTCAGAAGCTGCTCTGCCCCAGCCCTGAGCTGCTGGAGAAGATCAGCCTCAGCTTCCTCACTGTCTTGCACTGCCCTGTCATCTCCTGCCAGCGCTGCCAGCACAAGGCTGAACTCCCCTGCCTCCCCTGGGTCTGCAGACAGGGCTTCTGAAACTGCTAAAAAACCAAAGGGGTTGTGCTGCATGTGGATCCCTGCCATGCAAGGCCCCAGAAAACCAGTTTGATCATCTGCTCTGACCTGACACAGGCAGCAAACCTTCCCTGAGCAGGCTGGGGCACCCACAGGCTGAAGGTGCTGGCTCCTGCAGCTGGAACCTGCTGTGGCTGCTGCTGCCCAGCCTCTCATCCACAGCAGGCTGTGAAGCTGGCTGGCAGCCACAATGCAAATTAACTCCAAAAGCCCTTTTTTGGTAGATTTAGCCAGGGAATGCTGGCTAGCCAGCCCCTGGAGGTTCTGCAGCTAGGAGACAGCAATAACCCCACACCACCACCTCGGCAGCTCCCAGGTGTGCTGCTGAGACTGTGCAAAAACATCAATTCCATGACTCTGGTACTGAGATTGCACTGCACCATAATGCCAGTAACAGCAAAAACCTTCCACAGCACTGCTGCCATTTGTGCCAGGCAATTGCTATTGGCACCCAAACCAGCAAAGGCAGTGCACCCAAAGCTGGCATTCCTTGGACTTTGGTTTAGCACCACTCAGATTTGGGGGCTGGAGGTCTCCCACCACAAGGTGCATTTGGTGAATTCTGCCACTCACTTAAAGCCACCACTAACTTCTTTTTGAAGCCATTAAATTGATTTAAAGAGGCTGTTCAGGTATTGGTGTCATATTTACAGTGAGCAAATGCTCCCTCTGACTGGAAAAACATCAGTACAGAGAATATTCACAGGAAATCTGTTCTGTGGGGGAGAGTCTGGAAGCATTCTGAAGAGCCAGTTTCATTAGAGAGAACAGCCTGGCACCCTGAGCTCCAAGGGTGTTTGGCAGAGGTGCCCCAGCTGAACTCAAACTGCACTGAGGGCTGAGCTGCTCCCTGCACTCTGCCCTGGGGATCCTGAATTTCACAAATGCCCAAGGGCTCTGCTAAAGATACAGCCAAGGGGTACCTGGAGAAGTATTTCTCCCCAAAAAATCACCAAGTGCCTTTAAGCATGGACTAGAACTTCATGAAAAAAGCCTTTAAAAACCCACAAATGCCATGAGCTGGAGGATTCTGGGCAGTTTCCTCTGCATTAAAGCTCAGGGTCTCTTCAGGAAGCCCACACTGCCAAAATCCCATCCTGAGCCAAACTGCCTCCTGGTGCTGAGGGTTTTCTTCTGATTGCTCCAAGTTTAGTAGAATTTTAAACACTTTGCAACTGCAAATGCCCAGAAAAAAAGCAATTCACTGAGAACCCCTAATTAGCCCTGGAAAGCACAAAGGTACAGCCAGAAGCCTGAGTCTGTGTGCAACATTAAAAGAAGTGGAAATTGTAGGCTGCCACCAGAGATGGACATAGGCACCAGGCAGAGAAGATAAATGAGATGAAACAGTCATAAAAACAATACTGAATAATCTGATGCCAGTTTTCAAGTTATTATTTAATAGGGCACAGATGTTAGAGTCACATTTTAGTTTGCTTTCCATGTACATTATGAATTATTTTGCACTTTTGCATTAGCACACATTACGCAAAAAACTGTCTCTAATCCATTAGAAATTCCCTTCAGGGGGAGCTTCCCCCCTCAATCTGCTGACTGCTCATTTAATCACAAAATGGTTGCACAAGGGATCAAATCAACACTAAGGCCGTGCTAGCAAGTGACAAATCATTGCACTTCAGAAAATTATTAATCGTAGTGGCACTGTGCTTGTGGGCTGTGATTTCCTGAGGACAGAATAACCCCACGATGCTCAGTTTCAATGGGCACTGCTCTGACTAATGGCACACAGCTCCTGGGGGGATGAGGGCTCTGAGGATCCACCTGCAGCACCAGAGCAGGCTGGGGAATGCCAAACTGAAACGTTCACCAGGCTGAGATGCCTCTAAATCACCTTTCTGGGGGGAGAGGAGGTGATTAAAGACTGCCAGGATCAGAACTAGGGCAGACCCTGCTCTGGTGGCAGCACAGACAGCTCAGCTGCAGAGAGCCAAAGCCAGCTCCTCTCCCCCCGAGGGCTGCAGGCAGCCCCAGCTGGGACAGAGCAACTCAGGATCTGCTGGGCTGCTCCAGGCTGGGACAGAGCAACTCAGGATCTGCTGGGCTGCTCCAGGGATGGAGCAAAGCTCAGGATCTGCTGCCTCCTCTTGGAGCTCAGACACTGCCCCAGGCTGGGAGCACTCTGGTGCTCGCCCTGCCAGAGCAGAATCAGAGCCACGCTGGCACCTGGATGGTCCAGGCTCATCCCATGGACATTCTGCCATTTCCCAAACAATTAAAGCACTTTTCCCACCATTGCATCACTAGTTCAACTCTAAGTTTCTTTCATCGTTGACACCTACCAGGAACAAACACAGTGAATCAAGGGGGGAAATGAGTTTTACCTGCATTTTGTAGAAATCCGGACCAGTCAAATGTTTCACTGGGTGTAGTCTTGATTCCTGTGTAAAAAAAAGAGAGTTCCGTGTTAAATGTGCCCTGGCTGGCTGAGCTGTGGCTCCTGAAGGCTTTTGGGAGCCCAAAAAAGCAATATTTCTGCCAGGCACCCAAATCCCCTCTGCAGCTCTCCTCACCAGCAACGCCAGGCTGCCCTTGCAACCCTTCCACAGGCTGGAACTCAGTGGGAAATTCTGTGCCACCACCCACTGACCTTCTTCAGCAACACAACCCTGCTAAATTAAAAAAATCTCAACCTACACCTGGGAGAACATCACCTGAGAGATCACATCATTCCAAAACAGATCCGGGGCAGCTGGGACAGAGCCCCCAACATAAAGTGAAATAAATTACATTTATACACAAATTAAATATTAATCTGTCCTGAATATTAATGTATTTGTTTTTCCTTATGGTAAAGATTAATTATTGTAATGAAGAAACTATTTTATTAATTTATTGAAGTGATTGAAGTGATTTAAGCCCAGCAGAGCCCAGAGCAGGAGGCACCACCACGGCAATGACAGAAATGGGGTGGCTTCAGCAGGATCTCCAAGTCTCACCTTGACTTTGGACATAGATTTTCTTCCTGGCGTCTGGCTTTAAAGAGAAGGAGAAGAAAAAAACTTTCAGAGTTCAACATAAAAATATCTGCTCAATCTTCAAACAAAAACCAAAAAACCACAATAAAGAGCAACAGAACACGTGTCAGTGTGAGTTTCTTTGGACTATTAAAAGCCAAAACTGTTGGATACATTCAGTAACTCCAAAGGCAACAATGTAATTTATAGTTACTATGTCCATTCAGAGTAACAATGAATCAACTTTGCAATAAACACAATAACCAGGTTAGTACAAATATACAGTTTTCAGTTTGTCTCTCCATCCTTTCTTTGGATCATTACCCTGTCTTTCTGGAATAAAACAAATTCCAACTGTCCAGCTGAAAATCAGCTCTAGTTCCCAAAAAGCTGCTGGTCGTGGAAGACTGGTTTTGGAAATCCGTTTATATTTATCCATAAAACAATTTATAAACACATCAGCTCCAGAAACTGCTGTCAAATCCAAAGACTCGCCTAGACTGGAAAACTGGTGCCTGGTAGCTATTGCAGAACCTTCACAAATAAAAATTGCCAAGTAAATTACCTTAAAATAGCTGCAGTAAAAGAGGTAATTACCACATTCCAAAATCACTCCTGAAGTGCTGTTATTTAATTTAGGTGATTAAAGAAGCAATTTCCTATTTCAATATCTTCCTATAACTCCAACTATGGATTTGTGGAATACTTTGTTTTTTTAATGAAGAGAAAATCAATTCAGAAACAAACTTCAATTCTTGAACCAGCCAGCTCAGGAAATAGGAAGCCACAGAAGTGATTTTTTTTTTTTAATTGCAGAGATTTTGGTTTTCCCTGTTGTTCCTTTGTGGCTGCCCCTCAGTCCCCTGCCCAGGCACTGCAGTTACTAAAAATGAACTGGGAGAAGAAACTGGGAGAAAAGAGGACACTTAAAAAGTCATCTGCAAGAGCTCACAGATGGGAAGGAGGTGGTTTCTGAGAACCAGGGTGAACAATGTCACCAAAATTGCACAAAAAAGCAGCAAATCCACATGGGAATGGAGTGGGGGAGAAGGACACAAATCTGTGCTACAGTGGGAGCCTGAGGATGTGCCACGGACTTCATCTTTCTGGAACTTTTGTGTTCAAAGGATTAAAAAATACTGAAAATAGTTTCACACATCATTACATCATTTTATCACTTAAGAGTGGACCTTCTCTGACTGACAGTTTGAATTAGCCAGCATGATAAAAACGCTGAAGTGGTGAAAAGCCCCTGCAAGCAGTGGGACAGCGAGCTGGAGCCAGCTCCAGAGTTAACTCTGCAGGAAAGTGAGCAAAACAGGGAAAAGCAGCAAAAAGGAGGTGGGAAAAGCAGGGGGCAGAGCCCTGCCTCCCAGACACCCGAAAACACCGAGTTCCACCAAGAATTCAGGCTCAGCACCTTCGTGGCTGCCCTCAGGACCCCCGAGGGCTCAGGGGGCAAATTCAACCCTGCAGGGCTGGGCCATCCAAGGGGAACCCAGACCACTGGGACAGGCTCAGGGTGTGCTCACACTGCTCACAGCCACCTTCTCCTGTGCTCTTCATTTCACACGGGGTGACAGAATGGAAAATGAAACTGAATGCCAATAGAAGTGGCTCAGGCAATTCTTCTGCAGCAGTTTTATGCTCCTGAAGTAAAACACTGACCATAAGCACGAGATCCTTTACAGTGTTCAAACCCACTGGGAATACAGATTATTACAGGGGCTGGATTACATACTTCACAATTAGGGGTAATTTAAAGGAATTTGGGGCTCCAGAAAAGAACTGCCCACGCCACAATTTAATTTATCCAATTTATAATGTAATTTATCCAATGAAATAGAAGAGAATCTGTTGAAGAGACAGCCTTTGAGTGCAGGGCAGTTGGTTACCTGTTTGCAATGTAAATTCTCAGGTGAATATCTGAACTAACAAAGCCCCACGGGAGGAACAGGGCAGCTCAGAGCAGAGTGAGCTGGTTTGTAAAAACCGAATATCCCAGGAGCTGTGGTGAAGGGTGTGCTCCTGCTCTTCACTGCCTGGAGCAAATCTGCTCTCAGCCTCCCCAAAGAGCAGCAGCTCAAAGCTCAGCTCTGGGGACAGGCAGCAGCTGGGACTGCAGCTCGGGGTGTGACAGCTCTGCCCCCGTTCCCTGCCTGCCACAGAGCCCAGCACAGCCCCCAGTGCAGAAGTGTTTGGGTAAAAGCAAAGCCTGGCACTGAAAAGCACTTGAGGTGCTGATGCTGAAAGGATTTCAAAGCTCAGTTTTGTTTCTTCTCCTCACACTCTGTTACTTTTGTCCTTTTCTTGCCTCCTGTCTCTGACAGAAGCTGTGCCCTTTCCCTTTTACCCATCGTGAGGTTCATCGTAGTAACCATTAAAACCAAATTACATTTGTAAAATAAAATACCAAATCCCATGTCTGCTCATGTATCCTTTTAAAGGAAATAGATTTTAAAAATCAATTAGTGCTGAAATCAGGTGCTGTACATCCTCGTGCTGGGCTGTGCAAGCTCCACTCCCCGTGGTTATTTCTGGGGCAGGAGTGCATTCATGGTGACACCAGATGCAAGTTAGGGCTGAAGAGGTGCCAAGCACTCGGGTTCAGCTCCCTGCATGAATTGTTCAGCTTCAGCTGGAGATCCCCAGGGCAGCTGAGGGGAGCCAGGAGGGAGCTCCTGCCTTGCTGGTTTCATCCCAAATGGTTCCTGCCCACCTCGCTGACCTTCTGCTCAGCACAGCAAATCTAATTCACCTCTGCAGCTCACCCTAAGAGTTCATTCTATTTCCAGGCTGACAAAACAAGTATTTTCAAATTATACTTCAAATTCTGTATTGTAACTAATGCTGTCTGGAGGAATTTTTTGTCAATGTAAAGTTTAGTAAATGATGCCAAAAGAAACAATTTGGCATAGGAGAGACTCGCTAACAACTGATTTGTTTTAAATGTCACAGAGAAACACTTCCTAAAGTGCTCCACACTCTCTACCAATAACACCCAGCTTTCAGTGCCAGGGCTCTGACTGCACAGCAGCGTGGAATGCTGTCTCTGACAGGACAATGCAGATTATTGCAATTCCCAGCACATTGAGGGCACATTTCAGAGCATGCATACCTGCTAATACAGTAACCACCCCCATCCCCCACATACCCACGCTGCTGCTGCCAGCTCCTTCATTTCCACGGTGAAAGCCACTGCAAACCTGGTTAAGGGGACAAAAATAGTTGGGATCATCTGCTTAAAGAGTTTAAACAGAAACAGTACTTCAGAAAAAAACCTTGATAAGAACGAAGATCAGAGGCTTACAAAGCTGATCCAGCTGAAGGACAGAAAGCAGGCTTCCCCTTTTCCAGCAGAAACCCTGCTTAAACCAGCAGCAGCTCCTGGGGCTTTGCACCCCAGGGCTCTTGGGAAGGTGGAGTGAGGATTCAAAGAGAAACCCCAAAGGCCAGGACAGCTGTCAGACCGTGCCACAGCAGGAGCTGGGCTGGCTGCTCTGCCCTTTCCACGGGGCTGAGCTGCCCCTTTGCCCTGCTGCCCTTGGGCAATCCCCAGTGCCCCTCTCTGCACCCCAGTGCAGTTCAGATGCAGATTCCAGACCTCTCCCTGTAGCTGGGATATTTTATGAAATTCCTTTGCTAGGGTTTTCCTCCTATTCTAGCTGAGAAGCCTCAGAAAAGAAATGTAAACACTTAACTGTGTGCTGGCTGTGGAATGTGCTCTGGGCATTGTTTACCAGCAGGTGCCTCTTGGATTGGTCCATGTGATTGTTTCTACTTCATAACCAACCAAAGATGCATCTACATCGGACTCTGAGAGTCAGGAGCTTTTGTTATCATTCCTCTCCTGTCCTTTCCAGCCTTCTGAGAAACCCTTTTCTCTCTATTCTTTTAGTATAGTTTTCATACAGCATTTTAATATAATATATATCATTACATAATAAATCAGCCTTCTGAAACATGGAGTCAAGATTCTCATCTCTTCACTCGTCCTGGCCCCCTGGACTCCACCACATCTCCCAGGCTCTCACAGCTCCAGGGGGAACAAACCCTAACTCAGATGGGGATTCCAGCCCTCTCCCAGGCTCTCAGAGCTCCAGGGGGAACAAACCCTAACTCAGATGGGGATTCCAGCCCTCTCCCAGGCTCTCAGAGCTCCAGGGGGAACAAACCCTAACTCAGATGGGGATTCCAGCCCTCTCCCAGGCTCTCAGAGCTCCAGGGGGAACAAACCCTAACTCAGGTGGGGATTCCAGCCCTCTCCCAGGGCTCTCACAGCTCCAGGGGCAACAAACCCTAACTCAGGTGGGGATTCCAGCCCTCTCCCAGGCTCTCACAGCTCCAGGGGTAACAAGCCCTGGGGAGCAGTGCTGGGCTGTCCCCGTGCACAGCCCTGCAGTGACAGCAGAGCCCAGGCAGTGTGACAGGAGCAGTTCCCCTTCCTGGCTGTCCCAGCAAAAGATGATTTGTAAACACACTGATAGCCAGGTTCCCTGACTGGAGCTGGGTGAAGCAGCCAGAAGCTGTGGGAGATGTTTTCAGGCAGAGTTAGAGGAGAACCCTGCTCAGGGCAGAGCTCAAGAACAGGCTGGATTTTAATGAAGGTGTAAATTGTACTTTTAATGAAGTTGCAATTGTACAAACACGTGTTTGGAGGCTCTGAAATGGAACTTCAGTGCCACCTGGAGCCACAAACGGGGCCATTTCTGGAGCCCCTCAGTCTGAGCAAAACAAAGTTTGAAGGGCTCCTTCACTGAGACACTGCTGCTGAGCAAAACACCTCCTTTAACTCCTTCTGGAGATACTGAATGTAAAAGAGGTTATCACACATTGCACTGATGGTTCAGTGCTGTTTTCATGTGATTTCTGAAATGTTTCTGTCCTTAAAGGTTCCAGATAAAGCACAACAGCCAGGACAGAGCTTCTCCCCTGGAGATGTGCCATAATTTGATTATGTCACAATCACCATAACCATTAATTAGAATTCCCATAAATGCTGAGTTATAACTCCAACTCTTGCTTGTTGAAACAAACCCTATTCCCCCACATTTGTTTTGCAGGATCTGCTTTGTGCCCCCCAATGAATTTCACACGCTCAGCCTGACAGCTCTGAGGTGATTGAAGCCCCTGCAAACGCTTGCTTTGGCAAGTTGCACGTGCTCCCTTCCAGATTCTGCAATTATCCTTTCAATACATCACATTAACAAGCATAAAAAGATGTCACTTCTAAGTCTACAAAATACTGTTCAATAGGAAAAAAAATACCCTGGAGGGGTACAAGCAGCATTTAGAGGGATTTGATTAAAAATGAAACACTCATAAGGCTCGACAGTGTTCAATAGTTTGTTTTATGGAACGTGGGGGGATATTGTACTGGACAAGTAATCTACAAGTCATGATGCTTTCTGCTTAGAGCCCTGCAATCAATAAAGAAAAAAATCAATGTTTCTTTTAATAACTCTGCAATGAATAACACCAGTGATGCTCCTGGAGAAGAGGTACATTCAGAACAACCCCCAGAAAACTGAGATGCTTTTCCTGTAGCAGAGAAAATATTGTAAACTGCATAGGGATGTCGTAATACATTCTGAAATAGCAGAGATCATTCCAGCTATGAAGGCATACCTCAGGTTCCCAACTCAATACCATTAGAAAACATTCAGTAAAGCAGTTTTTGTATTAGCTGTATTTGTGACAGAAGATATTTTAAACAGAGATGGATCAAATGGACACACTCAGAGATTGTTTTTATGTATTTCTCATTTTGCACACTGCTGAAACCCCTCTGACACATCAGATATCTTCCTCCTTTCCTTCAGACGTGTTTAAAGAACAACTTCTGATTATTTGATAACAAAAGCAAACAAGTACATAAATTTTTTCCTGAGTGGAACCTTAAGTTGCTTTCAGCTCCAAGCCACACTGAGACACAAGAACATGCCCTAATGATTTTTCAATGAGAGTGATTAAGTGCTGCCTTTAAAATCTGTTTACTTACCACACTTTATAGGGGATTACAGACAGAGCAGCACATCTCTGCCAGCGCTAAGTGAGCCAATAATAGCTGGGAAATAGAGTGGTATCAGCAAGGATAGACCAGGAGACAGATCCTGCCTGCCCCAAAACCCATCCTGCCCTGGGTTTCCTCCCCCACCACGCCATGAGCAAACACTGCTGAAGTCAACAAACCTTTGGATCAGCCAGGAGAAAACTTCTTTTCTGGGGATGTTGAAACTATGAAACCTGCTCAGAAGTCTCTTTAGTTTTAATAATTTCCTCTGGTTTAGGATCAGTTCTTGGTCTACATTTGATGACTACACTGGCACGTCATTAGAGCTTTCCAGACTTTAAAACACCTGAAAATACTCCCCTGTCATTTCCCCTAAAAACTGAGAGAATTGCTTAAAGACTTCTTTCAGTCTCTGCTTCTTTGCTCATGGGCCCAGGGACAGGATCAAATTAGCAGGAGAAAAAAAAATAAGAGAGAAAAAGAATCTGCTTGTAGCAGAGGGATCCACTTTTCAAGCAGGCATTCTGTCAACAAGCTGTGTGTGAGGAGCAGGGAAATCCAAAATCAAACAAGCAGGCTGCACACAGGCTGCGTTTGCTGATCAAACTGCTCCACTTCCACCTCTGCATCACAAACAATGTGTAAAGATCACAGGGATTTCAGCAAGCCCAGCCTCTTCTGCTGGCCTGCACACCTGCCAGTGGTCCCAAGTGAGAATGGAGAAGTTCCTAAAAGATCTGCCACAAAAAATGCAATTTCCTGCCAGAAATCCTTCAGCCCTGCTCTCACCTGGCTTTCTCCAGCACTGCTCCCATTACCTGGCGTTTCTCTTTACACTTGACATCTTCATTGACATCTGTCCCGCCAAAGATGATTCCAAAAGGAATTCTGCTCCCTGCAAAGCAATGAGAACTTGGCCAGTAAGTCCAGGTAATGACCAGGAGTGAGACAGCACATTGATAACACTGAATCACCATCTGAGCAAACCTCTTGGAAAAGGAAACTTGAATTTTTATTTTTTAGCACTGTAACCCCCCCACAATAACTGCGCACTTTCACAGGACACCAAACCAAATGGGAAACAAAGTTTGTTGATAAAGACAGAAAATGTGCCATAGATTTCACATTTGTGTGTGAAAGTTAAGTGAGCTGCGAGATCAGGATTTATTAGCATTGCTAATTTCCTCATTACTAAATGAGAGAGCAAGCAAAAAGAATGAAAGACTAATTACCATCCTGGCTACTGGAGGATTTCCTCGGCATTTGTTGATATCCTGCTCTAATGTTTGCAGGTGGAGGGAATTAATGTGCACTCAAAGCACCACTGCCTCTCATCTTCCAGGGACAGGCTGTCTGTAGCACCACATAAAATATGCACTGCCTCTTCAATGAATTAAAAAAGTGAGTAATTATTATGTCATCCAGTACGTGTGTTGATCCTGTAAACAGAATTTCCAGGAGGAGGCCAAACAGATCAATAGCATGGCAGCACTGGTAGTGCAATCACTACATTTCTAAATGTTCCAGCACTCTAAACATTCCAGGAATGTTCTCTGAATCCCTTTTTTCCCCCTAGAAGTCTGCAAAAACTTTTACTCTTTGATCATCTCAGCAATCTTGCTATTACTGTCCTGTCTTTCAGAGATTTTTTTTTTTGCTTGTTTTCTTTCAGTCACTGCAGATCCTTTTTAGAACAGTGTAACTGATTTATTTAAATTCCTGGGGTTTTGTGAACTATCAGGCTTTTCAGGCCACTTGGGACTTTGGAAAGGTAACAGCAACAGCAATTGGGCAGTGCCCTGCAAGTTAAACTCCAGTAAAATCTTACTCCAATAAACAGTTAAAATTCAACTTTATCCTTTGTTCCTCAGCAAAAATCCCCCAAAAAACCCCAAAAAAGATGGTGCTCAGACTTTCCATAAGCCCCCTCCAAAACAATTCAAGGTCTTGCCACAAATCCAATCATCTCTATGTTCCTACAAGCCCTGACCCACATGTGAGCACAGCTCATTCCACAGACTTATTCTGCGTTTCCATTTCAGGTCCCTGCTGCACTCGGAGCCCCGTGGAACACAGCCAAGCCAGGACAGAGAGGTGGCCCTGGAGCAAAGGGAACGTGCAGTGCTTTGTTCAGCGAGAGATTCCTGTGACACCCCCAGCTCCCAGCTCAGGATCACTCCCGCAGTCCCAGCAGGCGACTGGCTGGAATTTCTGTCATTGCCAGGGCCAGTCCTTCCAGTGTATCATTAGTGGCAGGCTGCAATTTTGTTCCACGTGGCTAGAGAGAATAGGGGATTTTATTATTTGTCTGATAACATCCTGTCTCCTACAGTTCAGCTGACAGGAATGTTGTTGCACGTTGAGAAACCCTGACTCGTTTTTGAGCAGAAAAATCAAATTAGCCTCCCTGCTTTCTTCCATTTGAGCCCAGCTCCACTTAGCCAAGCCATTGTCCTCTGAAAGAACACGTTTGCTGAAAGGATCCTAATGTTAATGTAATGCTCTCATCCTGATGGAGTTAAAGTACTTAATTATCAGAAGCACTATGTGGTTTAAAAGGACATTTATTTAGCTCTCTCTATATCAGATCTCCCATTGAGAGGGGTTTTTAGCATTTCTGAACGTTTGCTGAAGTGGATAAACAGAGTGAGGATATTCTGTGTGGGTTTATACATTTATAGCCATTTGTGACAGCTGGGATTCATTCTCTTCCCTTGCAGGACTTTCCTGGGAGGTAGTTTTATTTTTATTGCAAAGCAGGAGGATTACCTTGCAGCAGTCTGCCTCCTTTGTAGAGGTGAATGGCCAGGGCTGCATCAAACCTGTCTGAGGAGGTCAGGTTTGCTATTTCAGTTGGACTTTCATACATGAAAGCATCTTTAAGAACACAGATGTGACCTGCAGCATGGAGATGATTCCTTCATCATTGGAACAAACAGAAAAAGAATAAAGGAGTCACTGTTAATGTTATAGGCACACCAGTGTGTGAAGCAAACTTAATCAAAACGTTTTTCCTTAAACTTTGCTCTGACTTTCAACTTGATGCCACCTTTGTTCAAGCAACCAGGAGCTGCTCACAAGGCTGGGGTTTTTCCCTGGAAGGTATTTGTTATCTTCCCCACTGTGAAGCCACAGGCACGCTCCCAAGCCAGGTAACACTGCATGGGCTGAGCCTGATGAACACAACTTCCAAAACCCAGACAAAATGAAGCATGCCCAGGACCCCTCCTGACTCAATTTATTCTCTGGAACCCTCCTTTTGAAGGGAGGTGTCAGAATGTCTGTGCCAGACTCTTTTTGTGTCAGACCTTGCTCTTAGAGATTCTCAGCCCCTGTTCTGCAGAAAGGACACAAGTGAAGAGAGCACAAACATGTCCAGCCAGTCAATGCTGCTAAAAATGCAGAACATCAAGAATGAATGCACTGAGAAAGCCAGAGAGCTGAGTTCCCCTTCTGTCTGATGGTGGGTTTAATTGCTTCTTGTCTCAGCTCACCCACTTATAAACCAGGCAAAGGATAACTGAAGAATAAGCAAAAAACTACACAAAAGTAATTATACAAATACCTTCACAGCCTGCTTGAAAAATCTTAAAGAAATGGAAAAACAAACAACAAACCCCTGCCAGTCAGCTTGGCCATCCACCTTTACACACAGTGGTTCTCAGATGCAAACACTGCTGCCAAGGCTGCCAAGGATTGATTGATTGATTGATTGATTACAGACAGCCTCACTCCTCCCCTGACACCAGAATCAGCTATCAGCGCTCCCAGGAACATCAGCCAGAGCCACACAGGAGTAAATTGTGTCTGCTGACACGGAGAGTTTGCACTGCCAGGATCACAAACCCAGCACGAGAACCTGCCCTGCCCATCCCACGTTGTGGCAGTTGATTGATTTCTCATTGTGTGTTAATTGTCCTGGCATTAAAATCCTGCTAGCTCATTGACTGCCTGGATCGTGTCAGCTTGCATTGCCTCATCACTGCACAGCCTCCCGAGAAATGTGATTTTCTGTCCTGCAGAAGTTAGTCACTGCAGAAAGTGGTGATAAGAGTGCTGTGAAATGTCTGGGGGCCCTGGAGGAAGTGTTAGCTCTGTCAGACAGAGCTCTGTGCCACAACATATGGTGCTGGATCTCTTCCTAAAAAGAAAATCTAAAAAGAAACTCCTTTCCTTTCACTGCTCGAAACAAGACCAATCAGTTATGAGAAATGCTAGCAAATAATAAAACACAGCCACATTTTAAGTGCTTATGGCACTGCAGAGCAGCTCCTAACAGCAGCTGCCCCAGGAGCTGGTTCCAAGCCCCTGCCTTGCCCCTGGAAGGGCTCTCCATTCACATCACAGCACTGATGCCCAAATCTCCCAGCTGTGGAGGCAAAACCTCCTGGGCAAATCCTTGGGATGCTCCATAATTCACTCCATGATTTCACAGGTGCTCATTAAATGGTCTGAAAGGATTTTTTCCCATCAGTATTCCAATTACCATAAATCACTATCATGTACGAGCAATGTGTTTGCATACTACAATTAATTTGAAAATAACTCTCTCAGGACATCAGGAATCAAGAAACTCAGCCAGGAATTCCAATCCTAAGTGGTTTTATTTTTAAATGCAGTGGGGATGACTGCTTCTCCTGCACGCTTTCCACAGCTCCAGCCTCCCTGGGGAACGACAGCTGTTTCTGCAGTAACACAGAGGGACTCCCTCAAGTGTTCCCAGGCTCAGGGATTGAGCATTACCTCTACAACTTCAATTTTTTGTTTTTTAACAGATTTTTGTTCTACTCAGGAGCACTTAAAAATATTTGCATACACCTTTGGAAGGAAAAATAAGCAAATATTCTCAGAATAATTCAAATTCCCAGATTTCAAGAGGCCTTGAGCCCCTAAACATTCCATTGGGTTTGATATCATTAATCACAACCTTCCAATGATGCATCTATGCAAATACACGTGTGTAGAACTGAGTTACTGGGCAGTATTTAAGTGCTGAAATTTACAGTGTTATTTTGATATTTTCTAAATGGCTTTTCATCTTTATAACCGAAAAAAGCAGACTGATTTTCACACATATGCTGTTACCAAGGAGCACGATTAGGGAGTGCTGCAAAGTTACTGCAGGGGATTTTTTGGAAGACTGATCTGTGTGTGAAGTCCCAGAACGAAGGCGAGGCAGAGGAGACACAGGATCCAGATCTCTCCTGCTCCTGGCAAATGTCTATTCACATTATTTTGTCATTTCATGAACAAATACTTTGTGAATGAGAAATAAAAACGAACGCAGCTCCTGCAGTCTGGGGATCAAAGACAAGACTGGAAAGGCCAAATCTCAGGGCTGCATTTTCTCTCTATCACAGCTCTAATACAGGAGATCATTCCCAAGTGCCTTAACAAACCTGAATGCTGCTTGGATCTAGAACTGGCCTTGCCACATTCTTCCCTTCTGCTGAAGCTCTCGTGGAAGCCAATGCCATGACTTGGGGAAATAACATTTCTGAAGTGGAGCTGAGCTGTCAGACCCCAGATTTTGGGTGTTTCTCTCAGCAGAAAGCATCAGGGAGAACTTCAGGCATTCAGTAAATGTGAGAGAGTATTTTTAGAAGTACATATACAGCCACTGCTTACCCTGATATTTATACACACCTGAGTATTGGACAAAGTATCTCCCACTCCCTTTCATTTCAGCATTCAGGAAATTCATTTCTCTCCTTTTTGGTACATTTTTTCTATTCTTTGGAAATCACAGAGCCTATAAGTGAAACTTTCAAGTGTGTTCTCTGGATCTACACTGTGTGCAGAGACCCTGCTAAAAGGTACAGCCCTTTTCTGACACATTTTCACTTTGGGATTTCTATACAAAAACATTTTTCTCTAACTCATCTATGAAACACCAAGCGATGTTTTACAATGTTTAATTTTTTATTCCCTGCATAACTGATCACTGCTTCTCACTTCTCCTGGCTAGCAGTCTCCCCTCCTTCAGCATGAATCTGCAGTTCACAGGTTTGCATTTAAGGAATCAGTTTTAGGGTTCCAAACACAGCCTGGCTGACGAGAAGGCACAGAGTTAAAAGTGTGTTTATTTCCAAGGTATTATGGCTGTGAAACTTGCTCTGTTTTCTGTGATGTCTTCCTTTCGGAAACATTTACATTCTAAATTTCAACTGATACTGATTTAATGGAATTACTTGCAGACAAAGAATGTTTGATTTCCAAAAAGCTCCTGGTAGGTGGATACACTGACACTTCTTGAATGGCACAAAATAGGCTTCATCCAAAAATATTAATTATCTCTTTCCCTCAGCTGTCTGTTCTGCACAGCAGCTGTGCACCAACACTGTTAAATGTATATGGCACAATTCAGAGCTTGTTAAGGGAGCACAGTCATCCCACTGCCTCTCAGAAACTTGGCCAGACCTGAATACTCACAATTCCCACGGAAGCTCATCAAATTACACGAGTTGAAACCCTGCCTGATCTCCTGTTTTCTTTGCAAATGATCTTATTTTTTCAGAATTGTTAAAACAACATATCCTTCGCTTCATTTCCCTCCCAAACTTCTCCTTGAAGCAACACAGAGAAATTGCATTGGCATGAGTGAACTATGAATAAAGTTCACTGTGACCCACAGAAATTAAAAATGTGAGCGAGGATGGGGACCAGCTCCTCCTGCCTGTGTTCTGAAGTCAGTAACTGAGCTTTGGAAGGAGCAAAGAACTCTGCAAAGCTTAAACCCGTGCCACAAACAGTTCTTGCAGTGCAAGCATGGTGGTACTGAGGGCAGCCCCTGGCAGGGATGGATCTCACAGATGAAGAGCTGACTGCAGGCTCCTGCTCTGGGAATGGCCACAGGGCCAGCAGGGGTGTCCCAGCAGGGATGTCCCAGCAGGAATACCCCAACCTGAGCAGGAATGTCCCAGCAGGGATGTCCCAGCCTGAGCAGAGCCAGCAGGGATGTCCCAGCAGGGATGTCCTAACCTGAGCAGAGCCAGCAAAGATGTCCCAGCCTGAGCAGAAATGTCCCAGCAGGGATGTCCCAGCAGGGATGCCCCAACCTGAGCAGGGATGTCCCAGCAGGAATGTCCTGGCAGGGAGGCGCAGGAGCTCCCACAGCTGCCCTGAGGACAGGAGGATCCCCTGCCCTGGGACTGTTCCCCTGTGGGACTCCAACACTGGCACACAGGGTAAAACAAAATAGCAGAAATGTTTGGATTACTGAATCACTCCAGTAAATGTCTAAGCTCAAAAGCAATTGTCCAGAGGAATGACAAGCACTGCTGGATTTGTGGTCTTAATTCTCTTGCAGCTGATTACCTGGAGATTTACAGAATGGCTGTCTCCACTGGCCAGTTAATGACAGCCAAAACAATTTCTCCCTCTCCAGAAAACATTTACATATTGGCAAAACAGTTAAGCTAAATCTTCCTAATTAACCTATGAATTCCAGATTTCTATTCCTCCTTACTACCAAGTAATAAAAGATGAACAAAACATTTCAAGGGGCAGGGAAGAATAATTTCTTCCTTGACACCCTCTTTGATCTCATTTCTAAGGCTGAATAATGGCAGCCTAAGCACAGACTTTTGCTTAGTGCTGTATTTATTCATTGCTCATATTTTTTAAGGTGATTAAAGATGATGCACACCAATAGGAAGAAAGCCCACAGCACATTCATTATACCACTTGTTTTAGCAAGTTGATTTTTAGCCAAATTAGATTCTGGTACCTTTGTCACCACTTTAAACTCAGGAAATGAGTATCTTATTTATGAAAAGATGAAGCAGTTATTGGAAGAGCTGTAACACCATAAACAGAGCATACACTGTGATATTAAGCCATAAAATTAATCTGTGCTGGCAAGTGTTCAACCCAGAGACAACGTCATTGTTTCATTTATATTTAACCAAAAGTTCAACATTTTAAAAAAATTGAACAAAACTTCCTAAGCACACACACAGCCACAGCTGAGGGCAAATATTAACTGGAATATGTATTTTATGTGCATTAACACACATGATACAAAGTTTACCATGTGCACATAAGCTCAGGTATGGCAGATGAGTGTTAGAAGTGACTCAGCCAAGCCTTTGGCCACACATAGAGGTTTTGTGGGTTTTTTTAATGGCATAAAGTCCTAAGAAAACCAGTATTGGATAGAAATGTCTGCACAGGATGGTTTTAGTGCCTGGGTGACTGACAGGACCAGCAGATAGGTTCCACCACACCTTATACAACAGCAACCCTGCAGAAGTCTAAGGCTGCACTTGGAATGGCACAAGCAGTGTGAAACCTTCATGTCTGAGGATGCTTCTATGGGTAACACCACACGTGAGAAAATGCACAGATCAAGGTCAGGGAAAACTTGTTACAGCAGAATATCCCAAGAGATTCATCCAAAGATGAACAACTAAACTGTGGATGACTGTTAGATAAGCTGAAACCAAATCATTATTTGGGGCCTCAAGAGGACAAAACTATTGGGAAATTGTTTTATTTTTACAGTGACTTATTTTTTTCCTAGCTGCCACGCACAGTGAAGCCCCAGCAGCAACGCTCTCAGCCACGTCCCTTTCCCACGTCACAGAAAAAGCTAAACGGAGACATCAGCAACATTTCTGCGGTTCTGTTCGCCCGTGCCACTTCCCAGACCTGCGGCGCCGTGTCCCATCCCCGGAGAGCCGCACGGCACAGCCCGCAGCGGGGCGGCCACGGAGCGGCCCCGGCACTGCCCTGCCGCCCGTGGCACTGCCCTGCCGCCCGTACACCGCCTGTGCCACCGCAGCCAGGGCATCCACCGGAGCGGCCCCGGCACTGCCCTGCCGCCCGTGGCACTGCCCTGCCGCTGTCACACCGCCTGTGCCACCGCAGCCAGGGCATCCACCGGAGCGGCCCCGGCACTGCCCTGCCGCCCGTGGCACTGCCCTGCCGCTGTCACACCGCCTGTGCCACCGCAGCCAGGGCAGCCGCTGCCCGCCGGGCTGTGCGGGACCCGGGGCGCGCTGCGGGGCGAGAGGAGCCGGGTCTCCTCCGGCCGCGCCCCGCTCCGGGCGGGCGGCGCCGGGCCGCCGTGCGGCAGCGTGGGCCGCGCATGGCGGGCTCGGAGCGCAGCGCATCCTTCCCCAGCCGCCCTCACCGGATCCTGGCGGCCGTGGTGGCGTTGCCGGTCTGTGCCCGCAGACACGCCAGCAGCAGCAGCCTCATCGCTCCGCTCCGCCCGCCGCCGCCTCACCTGCCCGCGGGCCCGGAAACGGCGCTGCGGAGCGGCCGCGGCCCCGAGCACCGACCGCGCGGGGGTGCGCCGGCCTTGCCACCTGGCGACCGGGCACCTGGCTACCCAGCCACAGGGCTTGGGTGCCTTGCCAGCCCTCCGGACAGCGCTGTGTGCCCTCGGCACGCAGGCACTGAGGTGGCACGCTCGGATCATAGCGGGGAACGTTAACTCGAAGGCCTCCCCAGGGAGCATCACAGCCTCTGCCTCCTGATTGCACCCAGGGCGTGCCTCGTGCTCGGTGCAGGAACACCGTTGGGAGAAAATCTAAACGTGGCCAGGATGCCAAGCACCAGGACAGCCAGAGGAATGTGCTAGTCCGAAGAGTGAGGCAATGGGATGGTCAAAGAGCACTTGCCAGCATCGGGAAGGTCACAAAATGGAGCAGAACCAAAGGTGTGTGAGACCAGGGAGAGGTCTGGTAAGAAACCACAACAGGCAGAACCCAAAGCTACAACAAAACAGGGAAGAAAAAAGAACAAACCTGAACTCCAGATGAAGAAAACGATATCCCAAAGCAGCAAGCCAGTTTTCGGGATAAAAGGGTCCAGCCCAGTTATGGCCAGAAGCACAAAAAAGCTGAGTGGGGCAGCAGGCAGGAAGGCGAGAGGCCAACTGGGAGATGACCAGAAACAGGTGGCTGATGGCAAATACCCACCTGAACGTGTTCCACCATTTGTAAAATATTGAGAACAGGTGCAGGGCACTGGTGGTGATGAGAAGGGGGCTGATTGGGCAGAAAACTCACTTTTTTGCTTATAACCTGGTCTGATTGCCTGATGTAATTCACCACAGGGTTGCACAGATGCCAGCTTCCCCAAAGGCTGGAGAAGACGGGGAAAAGTGGTCTTCAAAAACCTGTAGTGCCTCATTGGTCAAATTTCACTGGCAGGTAGAAAAAATATGCCACATGCAGAGAAACACTGAATTATTCGTTTTTGAAAGAGTACTTCTTCCAATAATTTGTGTGGATTCCTGAGGCTAACAGGTGTTTTGAAATGGAGGGTTTAGAAGTGATAAAAACACACGCTGGAGTGGGTTCTGGCAAACTGTAAACATTTTGGTAGGCAGGCTCATGTTTTGGTAAGGAATCTTAATGCTGCAGAGCTGTGTTAACTGCATCTCACTGAGTTATCCCTTAGATTCAATACAACATTTCTTGGACTGCCTCAAACTCCAGTGGAACTAAAAATTGTGTCTGCAAGCTTGAAGAGCAACACATTTTTCAGAAATGCTAAAAATAGAGTAAATGCTAATCTAAGGGAAGGCAGACCCAAACCACTGGTTCTAGAATGGTTTTGTCACCATCTGGAAAGTGTTTCTGGCATGAAGTCCCACTCCTGCTGAGATGTGGAGGGCTCCAGTCAGCCTGGCCAGGACTCTAGCCTTGGAGCACGTTTGGGCTGTCACAGAGCTGTCACACGGGTGCCTTTGAGCCCTGCTGGTTCCAGGGTGTCCAGGTGACACATCCAGGTGTGCCACACCAGGCAGCTGTGGCAGTGCGTGCCCAGAGCAGCCCGTGTCACCAAAACTGGAGACTCTGCAGCAGGGCACTGCCCGTGGCTCTGAAAGCCACATTTTGGGTTAGCAAAGCTGCCCAACACGTTTAGTGTGCAACACAAAGAAGAAAAAACACAGACATTAAAGTAAGACAAAGCCAGCTCCGTGAGAAATGAGGAAACTCAACCATTCATCTGAGAAATAAAGAGGAAATAAAGGAAACATTCCAAGAGATTTTAACATGTTTTCACAATTTATGGTAACTCTGGCTTTATGCTGTAGAGGCTTTGACTGAAAAAATAACCTGGAAATGTGCAGCACTGTGTTTGAAAACAGGGATGTGCATGATGCATTCCTGTAGAGACACAGCTGCACTCTGTGCTCAGAAAGGGTCGTGGATGTATCAGAACGAAGTTTTAAACACACTGTAGCTAGGTATTGTTTGGAGGGAAAGGAAAACCTGCTTCCTGCTGTACTTCCAGAGAGAATGTGTGTTCTAACAGCAACTTGTGAATTTTAATGAGTGCCCACGTCTCTGTACCTGAAGAGTTAAGTAACATTTTAATGTACATTTCAACATTTTAATGTCAATTTCAACATTTTAATGTACATTTCAACTGCTGCTCAGCATTGTTGGTGTTTGTACCAGTGGGATAGGTCACCACAGAAATCTCACCTCACTCACCAAGGGAAATTATGGAGGGTCTAAAACATGAAAATAAGACACAGTAGTACAAAGTGTGCTTTATTACTTTGAAAATACTACTAAACTCCTCACAAAGTGCAATCACAGTTAATATGGCGATACTGTATTAAGCTAGGAAAAGATGAAATGTAATTTTGTTACAGAATTGGTCGTGTTACAGTAGTTCACAGAGAAATGTACAGCTCCTTGCTTTTTCCTCATTGTCCTTTGTCATGATATTTCTTAACTATTTAAGAAAACAAATATATGTAATGAGTCATTTTTATGGCATATGTTATTTACAAAGGCCCATTACAGAATTATTGTATTTACTTTTACAAGCATCACTTGCTCCACTACCAACACTGCCCCAAAGTAAGTCATGCCTAAACGCTTGGTATGTAACTGCATGATGTCAATAAACGTAACTTTTTCACTGAAAACACACAACCAGCAGTGCCTTACCCACTTTGTTCTGGCCAAAACCAAGACTTTAAGATCTGCTGCTGGAGACAATTCCATGCATACACAACCTCAATGTGTGTGATGGTGGAACTGCAGCACATCTCAGGGCTGCAGTCTTGCAACCGCTGACGGATGTTTTCCCATTTTAACCACCATGTTAACCATGCTTTGTCCCACGGAAATCAGTGTTCACCCTCCTTGTGTGCCTGGACAATTCCTGCATGCCCTCACACCCAGCTGCTGCTCCCACCCCTGAGTCACCAGGCACACCCTGGGCGCTGAGCTGGGCTCAAACACGTATAAAAACACAGATAAAAACACGGACAAAAACAGCCTTTACAGCACACATTTATCACCTTTCCCTGCTGAAAGGCCTTGCTGTGAGACAATCTTTAACTATAGCATTAAATAACCCTAAAATAAATAAATAAAAAAAAAAGAAACTAAAAAAAAGATGATTTGGGGTCTGGAACATCTCTTTTGAGAGAATGTGCTTATTCTCGAGCAGGCTGAGAAGGGATCTCATTAATGCATGTAACAATCTCAGAGGCGGGTGCCAAGACATTGGTGCCAGCTCTTTTCAGTGGTGCCCAGCCGCAGGATGAGGAACGATGCCCATGAACGGAAGCTCAAGCCCCACCTCTCGGTGGAGAAGCCTTTTCAGCAAGGATGGCAGCGCGGAGGGTCCTGCCAGCCCGCAGACACCGCACACACCGGGCGCCTTCCTGCGCCGCGACCTGCCCGGGCCAGCCACAGCTCCCTTCCCTGGCACCGAGCCGCTCCGGGGACTCGGGCCGAGCCCATCTCCCTGCGGCAGCCGGGCCAAAGCGGGAGAGGGGCCGCACACCGGGGTGCCCAGCTCCGGCCGGGCACCGCCGGACACCCTGAGGGACACCCTGAGGGACCTCCCGGCTGCTCTGAGGGACACCCTGAGGAACCTGCCCAGCTCCGGCCGGGCACCGCCGGACAGCCTGAGGGACACCCTGAGGAACCTCCCGGCTGCCCTGACGGACACCCTGAGGGACCTCCCCGGTGCCCGCCCGTCCTGACGGACACCCTGAGGAACCTCCCCAGCTCCCGCCCGTCCTGACGGACACCCTGAGGAACCTCCCCGGTGCCCGCCCGTCCTGACGGACACCCTGAGGAACCTGCGCGGGCGGGCGGCCGGCAGCGCCTTCCAGGGCCGGCGGCTGGCCTGCGCCGCCGTGCTGCTGGCCGAGCTGCTGGAGCGAGTGGCCTTCTACGGCATCACGTCCAACCTGGTGCTGTTCCTCAACGGGCCGCCCTACGGCTGGGAGGGCGCGCAGGCCAGCCAGGCGCTGCTGCTCTTCATGGGCATCACATACCTGGTGTCGCCGTTCGGCGGCTGGCTGGCCGACGCGCTGCTGGGCAAGTTCGGCACCATCCTGCTCAGCATGGCGCTCTACCTGCTGGGCATGCTGGCCTTCCCGGTCATCGCCGCGCCGCACACGCGGCAGGGCCTCTGCGGGGACATCCCGCTCTTCCCCGTGGAGAACTGCTCCTGGCCGGCCGCCAACGCCAGCCGGCCGCCCTGCTCGCAGCTGGGAGCCGCCCGCTACTGCGCCGCCGCCACCTTCGTGGGACTGGTCCTCGTGGGGCTGGGCGTCGGCTCGGTCAAGGCCAACATCACCCCGTTCGGGGCCGACCAGGTCGGGTATGGCGGCAGGGCTGGCACCGCGGCTGGCCGCGCTGGGCTGGGCACTGCCGGCCCGCTGCCCTCTCGGCGGGGGCTCGGCCTGGGAGGGAATGGCCTCGTCCAGCAGCGTGTTGGGCTGGGCCGTGTTTGGGGTGAGTTTGGTGCCTGTGGGGTGGCAGGTCCCGTATGACCCTTGGGTTCCTGGTTACCCTGCCTGGGGTTACCCTCACCCTCTGTGGGGTCTGAGCTGGCTCGGCCATCACCAGCTCGAGGACTTGGGTTGAATACTTCATGGTCATTAAGTGGACTGTTAATTGTCCTCACTGGTGAGTTTGTGACCTCGGAGCTCATCGGATGAAGTACAGGACACACATTTTAGCTGTGACAAGGATGACGTGGGCCTTGAAAGGCAGTGGCAGAGGCCTTTACCATCCGTGCCAAAGGAAGGCTGCAGAAGCAGCACTTTCCATGCTGTTGGTGTTTGTGCCCTGCGCTGCCCTTGAGGGGCATTTCTGTGCAGGCTCGTGCTGCATCACATGATGGGGAAGCTGCTCTGGCCGGGGCAAACATCACCTGGGCTGCTCCCGAAGCACACATCCTGTCAGATGAGCTCGGGGGGACCCGCCACAGTGATACCATCCATGGGTCAGCCCTGCAGAGCCCAGGGGCTGCACAGAAAACTCTGAGAGGCAACCTGCACTTCATTCAGCTGGAATGCTGTTACATGTAGTTGTTTTACAGTGCTGTGCTGAGGCAGTGTGCTGGCTGTGGATGTTGAAATGTAATTTCTGCTTCGTAAACAGAGAATTTCAGCGTGCTCAGGTACTGCTGAGCAGCTTTTCTAACTAAACTGAAAGGCCAGAGCTGGCTCACTGAGTTCTGGTTAGAGCAGGTATCAGAAATGCCATGAATTCTTTGAGAGAGGGAGAATCCACCACAGAATCCTTGCCAAGCATAGCTCTGTTCTCTGTTGTGCAGTTTGCATTTGTCATTCTTTGGCATTCCGTGTATTCTGAATTCTGGGTGGAAGGCAGTATATAAATGTAAAACATTATTATAGCCCAGGATTGTGTGTCCCCAGTGCATGAGCTCTGCTTAAGCCAGCCTGAGCCCATCCAGTGAAATTGCTTTAATATGACTTTATCTTGTAAGGTGTTTTTCAAAACTGACTGCTTATCCCCAGAACGCTTTATGAAAGTTAAATATGGGAGATAAATAATGGCAGGAACAGAGCAAAAGAAGAGCCATTGCCAATGGAAGCATAGCTGTTGTAGCTGGGTTTTGTAAAGGCTTTTCCCCCAGGATTTCAAGGAGAGCAGGGTTTTGGCTGGGTTTGCAGATAATTCACAGTGATTTATGTAGGGTGAAGCAAAAGAAATACTCCTTGCTGGGCCATAATAATCAGTGGAGCTCTGCTGAGGCCTGAATTTTTCCCTTTTTCTCTTTTTTCTGGCCCTCACGGCCAGGCCACTTCCGCCCCGCCGCGCCCCGCCCGGCCATATGACGGCTCGACGGGCGGAGTGACAGCGCCTCCCACCAATGGCGCCGCGCCACTGCCGGGGGCGGGGCAGGGCGCTGGCGGAGTGACAACACCCTTGACCAATGGCACCGCGCCGCTGGGCGGGGGCGGGCCCGCGCTGCGGGCGGGCCGGGAGCGCG